ATATGATTTAAAAGACAACTTGAATTCCTTGCTCTTGATTATTAATTATAATCAAATGTTCAAATATATGATTAGCTACAAAATATATAAGATCATTTATATATCCCACAATAATTTGTCTATTATTAATTAAGTTGAATATTTATATACCATCATATCATAAAAGGACATAATGGCTAGCAATAATAAAGACATGTTTTAGATCTCTTAATTTATCTATCTTAAGCTACATATATAATGCATTAATTTCTCATTAAAATGAAGAGAGTTTACAATATAAATCATTTCAATTGAACCATCTCTCTAATACATTTTTTTAGTGTTGTGTATAGGTAAGGTTATTAAAACTTTTTCTACTAGTTTTTAGTTTAGTGAGAGTTATGTGATGTTTCTTGTTTGGGTTAAGAGGAAAGCATTAATGTAGACAAAACATTAATATTTCACTAGTGTTCACAAGTAACTATCTTGGAGAAGCAAATACAAAAAAAAATAAAAAAATAAAATAAAAAAAAAATATAATAATAATAATAATAATAATAATAATAATAATAATAATAATAATAATAATAATAATAATAATAATAATAATGATGATGATGATGGACATATAAAACCTTACTTTCACTTATCACCACATTTTAGTTATAATTTTTATTTAGACATCTTTGGAATTTTGGTTTAATTATTACTTTGTAGTTGCTTTTTTCATTTTTTATTATATCACATTTTGCTTTTCTTGTTGAGTTATTGTTAAGGCTCGAATGATGTATGAAAATGTTATTTATCTCCTAATACTTGTGTTTGTATACTTGTGTTTATAAGTAATCATATTTGAAACTTTCCCCCTTGAATACAAATCAAATTTAGATGCTTTTAAAATTTGAGGTTTAGCTTATGAGTGAGATTAATCACTTTTAAGATTTATCTTTAACATACTATATATCTATTTATTTTTGTTTGATTTTATTTGGATTTTGCTACTTTATTAGTGCATAAGGTTGTCCATGAATATTGGTGGAATTATCATTTGCACTAACAATGTCCAAAAAGTAAGCTATGCCTATTCATAAGGTCTTTTATGTAGTTAATCATCATGATGTTATCACCCAAACATTGGGATTATTGTAGCCCCAAAATTTAATATTATTCCCTTATTAAAAGTTTGACATGAAATGCTTCATATGTTTCACAAGATAAAATGGCCATGTCAATTATTTGAGTAATTTAATAACTAACCTAAACAACAAAGTGAGAACAAAGGCACATCAACCTATTCATACGGTCTTTTTATAAATCAATCAATAATAGATGCCCATAGTATGGTATATGATGATTAGAGTTCTACATATTATGAGTTACCCAAGTAGACATAGTTGCTCATAGTGAATGAGGATTGGAGTTCTACTTATTATGCAGTATATGACAAACATAAGAGGAGGATAAATTGATACATAATTTTTAAAATAATGAAAATTTTAGTTAATTCAAAATAAAATGAATGGGTCATAAAGTAAGTAATATTTTTTTTCACATTTAAATATAAATTAATTATGCTAAAATGAACCAAAGCATGAACACAAGTAATAGTAGTATTTTTTTTTACTTATTTTGTTAACTAGCATCTCATATTACACTTCATAAAATATTAATAAATCAATCAAACACATAATTATCATCTAAACCAACCATTACAATAATCACAATAAAATCCATCACATTATAATCTAGAAGAGTATGTAAAATAAAATAATTTAATGTCAATGAATAGTACTAAAGCACAATTAAAAATACAAATCAATTAATCTTATTTTAGCATGGATGGCTATGCACACACATCCAATCCTCTTAAGATTTTCACTTTTTTTCCTTTGCCATAGTTAAGTGTAGAAATATACATTGCAATCCTCTGAGTTAAAAATATGACAATCTTTAGAGATTTATTTATTTATTTATTTATTATTTTTTTTGGTGTGAGATTTTCTTATCCCAAATTATTCATGAAAAATTAGTTTTTCATAGTGTACTGAACTAATTATTTATTAGTTACTATGCAAAGCAAAATAAAAATAGCTATTCAAATAAAATATCAAAATTATGAAAATATTCTCTAGAGTTAAGGGACACCATAGAAAAACTCCATAAAATTTTGGCTTAATTATCAATTATATTAATTTTCTAAATGTTTTTGAAAATATTGGCTTCCAAAAATTATTTAAAATGTTAATTAATTTAAAAATTAATAAAACATTGTAGAGTGTTTTAGGATTTTACACATTTGTAAAGCTTTAGTGATTTTTTGAAGCTTAATATATTGATTATAATATTCTAATTCATTTATACTTTAAAATAATAAAAAAAATATTTTTACACGAAAATGGCATGAACCTAATATTCTTGGTGTTCTCTATTATGAAGTGTTAGGGGTTCAAAGTTTTTAATCATTTATTTGTCTATTTGATTAATCATAATGATTTAAGTTTATGTGTGGTTTAATTATACTTAAAGCTATTTATTTTTATTTTTATTTTTGATGAAATCAACCTCAAAATGGCATAGAGTTGAGTTTGAGGTCACCATGACATAAATAAAACCCATATATCTACTTTTTATATAATTTATATATTTGATAGTTAATATTATTTATTTATTTAAGTTTATTAACAATTACCTATGAGAGTTATTATCCATCTAAGTGTACTCCAAACATCTTAAGAAAATTATTATACACTTTAAATATGATTAGATAATTTTTTAGAATTTTTTAAGAATTTTTAAAAATTTTAATTATTTAATTTTTATTATTAATCTAAAATTTATTTTATTTAATTAAAAGGAAACTTATTAAGGCTTGAGTCTTGATTTGTTTAAAATATAGCTTAGTTTCATAAGTTTTTGATATATATATATATATAAACGAAATGTCAAGAGACTGTTATTGGTTATGCGAGTCTTTAGCCACCCCTAATATAACTAACAATCTGAGTACCATCTCTTTAAGGCCAACTGTGCCAGAGGGGATTCAAACCAATAAGTGTCTCGTACCCCGGTTGGCATCTCCTTATCTCGTGCACGACTTTGTTAGGGTTTCGCCTCATGACGAACCCTAGTGCCTGTGATGGCATCTTCTCGCATCGTCACGCTTGGAGGTTTTCATGCCTCGACTCCTCTGGTATGTTTCGTAGTGCTTTGTTGTTTTGCACCTTTTCGTTTTGGATGCTCGTTGAAGGAAGGTTGCACCTTTAGTCCTCTGCTCGACTTTGAAGGGGTTTCCACTAATCCCCCTTCTGCTTTTGCTCTTTCTTTCACTATAACTTCATTGCTCCTAACGCCACGCCTCCTTCTATTGATGATGGCTTCAGACAGAACGTATGATGCTGCCCTTGCAGGTGTCCACGTCTCAGGTACTCCAAAATCGTGCTCCTCCCCTTCTTCGTTTGCGTTCATAGATGACATTTAAAAACCTAGTAGGAAGAATGGGAGGCCAACCATCTTATTACGAAATTTGAACGTAATCAGCTTGTTTCCTCCTGTCGTCTGAATTTGGTAAGAAAATTTCTTTATGGTCATCCCAAAATGGAGCTTATTCGTAAGGAATTTGAGCTTATGCACCTTGTTGGGGAGTGAAAAATTGGACTTTTAGATGGAAGACACATCCTTATTCAACTTAATAATGATAATCACATCCTTATTCAACTTAATAATGAAGAGGATTACACAAGCTTATTTTCTATAAGATTAATCTGGAGTGATAATAGAGCAAGAAAGATTTCAAAATTGTTGGTGGATTTTGAACCACAGACGGAACCACCAATCATTCATGTCTGGATTCGTCTCCCTGGCCTGTAATTTCATTATTTTACTCAAGAAGTGTTGTACTTTATTGCCTCAGCATATGATAAGCCACTCAAAACAAACATTTCTCATTTTAATCTTTCCCGTCCCTCTTAAGCCATGGTCTTTGTTGAAGGGACATCACTTCAATTGCTTCTGAGGAAATTTGGCTCGATACATAACACCATGGATATTGGCAAAGGGTTGTGATTGAGCCTTTTCCCTCGTATTGCTCGAATTGTCGTATGTTCGACTACTCCATTTCTCAATGTCACCATCTACACCCCCATCTAAGACCAAAGAAGCAAAGTTCTTAGCTAGAGGCAGCGGTTCCCCCTCATCTTGATCTACTCCAAGTTATTGTCATTATTGATCATCAGAATGATACTCCTGAAGATGTCACTATCATCGCGGGTAATATGTCAACCATTTAGCCTTCACACAATGCTCATGATGTATGACAATATTTATACCGTGTTTCTACCGCCTCATCAGATCGAGCAAGTTGTTATTGTTAGTCAGACACATGGGCTCATAATGTTCAAAAGCCTAGACCTGCCCGACAATCTTTGGTCCAATCCACTGATCTGCTGAGCCAATCTTCGGATGAGGAATGACAGGTTTATACCTCTAGGAAGAATAAGAAGAATGGAGGCCTACTACCAAACTTGATGGATGATACATTGGTTATTTCAGATAATGACAACAAACTTAATAATTTGTTAGCTAGCTCCCAACCTAAAACAAGAGGCAGAGCCGAGACTAAATTGGATCATTTGCAAGCTAATTGAATTTGCGAGTGTTGACAGACTTTTGGCGTATAATTCCTATGTCTACATTTTAATCTTGGTTTTTTGGGTATACATGTATTTCCTACCTGTGTGTTGTATGTCGGGTGGTTAAGGTGTGAATTTGGTTTCTTTCATCCAATCTATTTGTATCTTTCTTTATATATATATATATATCTCATGATTTTTTTATTTTGTAATGACTTAATGAAAGTTTTCAAACTTATTAAAATTTTTAAATTCCTCATTTATTTACATAACATAATACCATCACCTATGCTTTACACATGAGAAGCTCTTATTAAATGTGGGGTTTTAATAGAGAAACCTCTAGGCAGTATAGTTTCTATCTAAAAAGATCTTGAACATCTATTTTAAATACACATAATAGATGGCAATGATTTATCTAGGATGAAAAATAATAGTCAACCATTTATTTTGACTTGATTTTTTTTTTTACTTAGGGGTTAAAGTCATGAGTTTTTTATAAATTTTGAAATCATTTGTAGCTTAAGATATTTGCAAAAGTATTATGATTTAGTTGTAAGAAAAAGACCACCTTCTGTTCTTTAACAGGTATATTGCGAATCCGGTGGCGTTTAATTTCAAGTTTTAAGAAAAATCAATATTTGAATTATGCTTCGCCCCTAGGAGCCTAAGTCCGAATAGCTCAACTTGAAAATATTTTTAGATTTTTGAGGCTACGCGGGTTTCAAACTGGAGAAGACGAACGAAATGATTGCGGGAGGGCAACCGACAGAGTACAAGGAGCGAGGACTTTTGGGAGAGACGAACAAGGGGAGAAAATGAAAAGTAACCGATAGGGTGCAAGAAAATACACGAATAAGAGTTTTGTTCGTATATTTAAATTGAGGAAGTGGGAACAGTCATTCTATTAAGCTGGAACTTTGGCAGGAGAGAGGTATGCAAATAAGTACTTGTTTAATTAATAACTACTCAATTAAGTAATTAATTAATTTAATTTTCTTATTTATTTTCTTTCTCCATCTTTTTCTAATTTCATGGTCAACAAACTAAAATAAAACCAAATATAACTAAACTTTAACTAAACCCCAAGATTGAATTAAAAATCAGCTTAAACTAAAAATTATCATCCTAGCACTTTCTAAAGGCAAATTGCCCCAGCTTGCCCAACTACCCCAACTTATCAAGGCAACTAGAATTAAGAATTTACTCACTAGCATGAAGTCAAATGGCAACTTCTTATGAATTCAACCTCCACAAAATAATCAGCATGCACTCTTCTCTTGCTATAATCCTTCTGTATTTTATGACAGTAAAACATTAAGTATTATTATGCACTTTCTTACTTTCAGTTTAATATAACATTTCATGTCACTCTAAACTTTGACCCAACCTATTAAAATAAGGTTAGTAAAACTCCAATACCATTCAAATAAAAAATTGAAATTCAATCACCATTGCTTTCTATTTTGGAAACTTAATGCATTTTCTGACAAAACACAAAAAAAGGACTGAAATTTATTCACAAACATATAGCAACTTTACATCACACTGAATTCAAATCAGCACGATATGTTTGTACTGTTTATTTGTTTCTAAAATGTAAGCATGTACAATTAAATAGCATCTGCAAACTACAATGAAACCTTATTAGGAAAAACGAAAAAGCACAGCCCACCCTTGCAAGCCTTAAGAGTCATAAATACTTCATGACTGAGTGCTAAGATTCTCACTGCTGGCCCAGCCATTCTGAATTTGGATACAATACTGCAGATTCCAAAGAATATCATCAATAGATGGCCTCTGCTTTAAATCTTTAGATACACAATTAATAGCTATTTCAACAGCCCTTCTCAGGGAATCATGTGCAAATGTGTTGCGAATGGCCGAGTCCACTATTGCGCCAAGTTTCGCCGGAGATTCATTCAAGCTCTTCAGAAGCTGAACCAGCAATTTATATATATTCAGATTTTTTTTTTTTATAAATTACAAGAGAAATAAAATGTAAGCTGAGTTTCTAGAAATGTACTTGAGCTCTGACTTCATCCAACTCCTGTGCTTCATGAGGTTTGCCTGTAATGACTTCCAAGAGGATCAAACCCAACTGATAAATGTCTTTCTTTTCACCATCATCAAAATTTTGAATGCTGTTTATCAGAATGACTATAAGTAATCGTAGCTTTACCAGATTGACTACTACAAAAAAAGTGATTAGAAAACATGTATTACCTGCCAAAAGTCTCGTCTCCGCAATCAGCGAACGGGATTTCACAACCAACCTGCAGAAGACACTGAGTTCTGAATCTGGATTATGGCATGAGAGCTTTAAGAACTTCATAATTTGAACAGTTTTGAACTAACCTTTTTGTTCTTATTCTTTGGTAATACAGGAAGATTATAATTACTAATTTTTGCTGTTAGAATTTCATCCAGCAAAATGTTTTCGATTTTGAGAACATTCCCTGATATACCAGGGACTATAACAGAATGCAGGAATTGCAATCCTTTAGCTACTCCGATTACAGCTGTTACTCTCTGTGGCCATTTAAGCATCTCACGCTTTCTCCAATCTGCTAGAGTAGGAACCAAAAATAAGAACACTTCAGAAAGGTAATAGCGGTTTATAATGAGAGCCTGAACATCTCAAGAATGTTTGGTTACCAGTAAGATGTGGTGAACATCTCAAGAATGTTTGGTTACCAGTAAGATGATTCCTAAGAGTTCCGTTGGAAACATATTCGAAAACAAGGAAAACAAGGCTTGGCACATTAGCGTTCCCCTCGCCATTAGCAATGCAATGCCCAAGGATACTGACGAGATGACGATGTCTGAGCTTAGAAATGATGTCTATGTATTGAAGAAGGCTCTGAGATGAGTACTTTTGTTTCAACTTCAAGCTTCTCACAATAACTGCGGAGCCATCTTGGAGCCACCCCTTGAAGAACTAGGGGATAGAAAAAAAAAAAAGAATAAAAACAATTAGCTTGGTATGAAACTAAGAAATGCAAGATTATCCCCAGAAATACAGAAGCAACCTTCAGTATTTGAGGACAATTAACACATTACATATGTATGTTGTATTCGCAAAGCCATCTATGGTTTCAAACAAACACCATGTCAATAGTACTACACCTTTTCCAATCATCTCAAACAACCGCAACCAAGCACCGAGGAACCGTCTTTTTTCATCCATAAAAATGGAAACAAACACAACTTAGTATTCTATGTGGACAATATTCTCCATACAGGTAAAGATGACTCATTTCAAACCACTCTCCTTCAAAATCTAAATCACAATTTTCATATGAAAAATCTAGGCAACATTTCTACCTTCCGTGGCATTCCATTCCATCACATTTCCAACAAAGATATAGCTGTTCATCACATTGCCATACAACAATAGGTAGCGGATACACTTACCAAAAGCCTGTCCATCTCTTGATTTAAGTACCTTTGCGACGAACTCACAATCCAGGTACTGGATCATTGGTTGAGAGGAGTTATTAACGAACCAAGTAGATGACATAGCTTGCAGGACACCTGCATCTGATCTCCATTCATGTGCAACAAACTACCTCAATCCTAACCATTGATTTATGCAATGAATTCCCTATATATACTATATATGTATACTTCATCCTGTACTCCTTTTCCTCTATGAATTGAGCTACGTACTGGTAGCAGGAATCAGCTATTTTGAAATTCTGCAAACCTCTTACCTCATCTAGCAATCCACACTCTTTTCAGTCATCCCAACTATACTTCGGATTATGGCCTACCTCATTGAAGCTTCAGATTTAATACGTTACAAGAAAATTCATCAATCAAGTACTAATCCTATGCAATTTCGAGATCTTGAAACACTCGAGTACTCAAATAAGAAACTCCCAAAATTAACTAAGGTATCATGCAAACTCTACTTCAGCAAACTTATTATCAAATGAGTGTTTTAATGGAGAAATCCTATGGCACAAAAAAATATCTTGATCCGACCGACTAGACCTAAATGTAGCACTTAAACTCGAAAGTATAGCCAAAAACATCATCGGACTATTTATTGGACCAAACAATCACAGAATTTCATATGCTTATAGTCAAAAAGAGTATATCAATGAGATAAATCCGATGAGCTTAAGATCACCTAATTTAGAAACCGTCAAAGCGTTAAGATTTCTAAAAATGTCATATAATGAAGAGCGATCAACTTACTTTGTCAGAAGAAGTGCATTGGTTTCAACTAAAGTAACCAGAATGCCCATAAAAATTATTTAGAACAAGCTTTGCTTTATCATTTTAATGGAGAATTTCTACAAAGGAGAATTCGGGAACACGAGTTCTAGAGCTCTACATGCAATATACGATGTCTTCATTTTCTACCATCAACACCCACCATCATCTTCCATCAAAGTTAAGTGTCATTGTTGCCACACCAATCATTAACCGTCTTTTCCAGCCACTTCGGCCTACTAACCCAGCATAGTTGAGTTCCATCAAAATCAATTGCATAATCGCTAACATATTTTACTGTTTGCAAGCAATGCTAGCGTGACCATGACCGATATATGTTGATTGTTGCAACTATCTGTTGAATTGAGCCGATGCCCATCTTCTGGCATCATCAACCAACACCAATGGCCATTGTCATGTCTTATAATCCCACCTTCTCTAGTGATATAGCAAAGCAAATCATTACATTTTTCAATCTATATAGTGGGATTATTACATTATCAACTTGGTTCTTGCATGAGTTGTAATTATTACCAGAATAAAAAAATTAAATTCTCAATTGGATGCTTCAAGGGCAAGCATAACAGCTGGATACAATGGATTTTTAATGCCATAAAATAAGATCACATGGGAAACAGAGTATCTTAGGCTCCGTTTGGCACTGATATTATCACAAACATAAATTATTATAAAAAAAGCTAATATTAAGTAGTTATAACTACTTTAAATAATGAATTTATTTGATCATCAAATGGAGCAACTAATATTAGTATTTTCTTTCATATGAATATAATAAAAAGATAATTAATATTTAATTCATCACAAAACAAATTTAACTGTTTTGGATTTATTATGTTTTTTAATTTTGATGTGTGCTAAGAAATTTGTGGCAATAGAGTGTCAGATTATCGTCTTAACGTGGTACGAAGATTCAACACACACTCAGAAAAAAAAAAAAACACTAATAATGACACCAAAAATTTTTATGTGGAAAATTTGAAAAGGGAAAGGGTCTTAACCAGCTGAAGAGTTCCACTATAAAAATATGATTACAATTGCAACCACTTGCCACACAGGAGAAAAATGGTTAATAGGTTTCTCAAGTTCCAATATCAATGTACTGATGAATTTGTTGCTAGGAACGACGACAACCGATAGCCATTAGCGGCGTCCAATCGGTGATGGTCGACGGTGGTTGGCAGTAATTGACAGCTGGCGGTGGTCGACGGTAGTTGACGGTGATCAACGGTGATCGGCGGTGATTAACGGAGATTAGCGATGATTGACAACAGTCGACAAAAGTTAGTGGTAGTTGACGACGGTCAACGGTAGTTGATGGTGATCAGCGAAAGTCTGCGATGGTCAACTGAGATTAGTGGTGGTGCTGGACTTCAGCTCCTCAATACTTCAAGCTCTTCCTCAAATCTCAAACTCTCCCTCCCACATGACCGTTATGTGACTCTATTTATAGTGCTCTGGGTGCACTTATTGCAGAAATATGAATCACTTTGATTGGATGGTCCGAAAAGCTTCCTTCGATCGGACGGCGTTTGGTAGACATTTGAGTCCCTTAACGATGTCAAAATTGAGCAATCTTGGGCTCGCTGAATTCGTCTTGTCGATACGCTCAATTCGATTATAGGCTTGCTAGATTCGACATTTGTTTGATCTTCTAAATATTCCTAAAAAACTTCCAAAAGTGCTTGATCTGAGTTTGATTTGACTCAGATTGAACTAATTTTGGTAATATTGGATATGTCTTGTCGGCGTCTCGTTGAGCCGGTCAGTTTGACTGTAAATTTGCTAAAATCATAACTCTTGATGACTTTTAATCGAAGTTTAAACATTTCTTGCTAAAAAATTGCCTTGAGATCTATGTCATGCCTCAAGATTCATGTTTGATGTTGGGAAATTTATTGATGATGTATCAAATCTAAATGCTTTGTCATTTTTTTCCAATTATTTTAAAAATAGAAACAGCATGCTGAAAGCAGTATCAAGTGGGCCCTTAGTCCAACTGATGACAACAGAGGTAATGATGCATCGTTTGTGGACAACTGGGCTTGCAGAGGTTTGACATGCATAAAGAGAAACAGTTTATTTCTTCATTCAACATTTGCCAGAGTAAAAGACAGTAGTATTACCCCCAATTAAAAGTTGAACCATTTAAGGGAAAGTTACATGCGCAGCACTCAATTCTTATGTATTTACATATCTCACCTTAGACTTTGATATTTACATACTAATGCTATTTTTTAGGGGTAATTACATACAGACCACCCAAAACTTGCTATTTACAAAAGAACCACCCTCTTTCATCCATTTTTTAAATTCTCACTCAAATATCAAATATCATGGTAAGAACCCAACCCATATTTTTCATTTTTATCAAATTCCCAATAATTTGTTCATGGCAAGCTTAAATACATCTATTCGGTAGTTCAAGAAAAACAATTAGTTGGTGCATTTTACATACAGACCACCTGAAACTTGCTATTTCCAAATTCTCAATAGTTTGAATATGACACGCATAAATACATCAGTTCAGTAGTTCAAATAAATCACCTTGGGAGGTTAATTTGTAAATATCAATGTTTTGTGTGGCTTGGATGCAATTATCCCTTTTTTGTGGGGGCAATTTTACATACAAACCAACAAAACTTGCTATTTACAAATTCTCAATAATTTGAACATGGCATGCATGCATAAATCCATCCGCTCGGTCGTTCAATTAAATCACCTGGGCGATTAATTTGTAAATATCAATGTTTCGGGTGGTCCATATGTAAATGCCCTTTTTTACATGATATTAAAGATTTAAGTGCTATCTTTGTAAAACTAAAAATTTAGGCATGAGATATGCAAATACATAAGAAATATGTCCTGCATATGTTAGGGATACAGCTCCATGTCTGTTCAAAACAATAGTTTTAAGCAGCACACCTGTCCCTGACGACCATCTGAAATCAAATTGGATGAGTCAAAGCCTTTGGTGGCTTCTTCAAGTTCCTCAAAAGCAAAAACACGGTATGGTGTAATTCCCAATGTACCAATAATCACTCCCTGAGACATGTGCCCTGCAAAGATCAAATTTTTTCCATCAGAACTTATAAACATAACTTCAAATCAGATCAAATCTACTTTCAAAAAGCTTACTTGCATCAGCTGGAGTTCTTTTGGCAGAAAAAATGGATTTACTGTCATCAATTGTGCGGTGCAAGGACTTCACTCCATTGATTTCTGGTTTCACCTTCCTGATGAATAATAGCAGCAACAGCCCGAACAGTAAAACCAATCCGATGATTCCTCCCACGAGGCTCAGTATCAGGCCCAATTTGCTCTTGGAGCCAGCTTTCTTGTTGGAATCCGGCAACACTGCAGCCAACGGCTTTTTCATACAGTAAGAATTCGGATGTTGGTATATTAGATCAGCAGTTGAGAGACAGTTCCATGAATTGAGGACGAGAAGATTGGAGGAGTTATGGCGAATGCAAGGAGGCAAACTTCCCACCAAAAGATTGCTTGATATGTTAACAAAATTTAGATCTTTTCCACAAGATAGAGTTGCAGGGAAAGCGCCCTGCAACTTGTTAGCTGACAAGTCTAAGTATTGAAGAGTTGAGAGGGAGAAAAGAGATGGTGGAATCGGCCCACTGAGCTGATTGAAAGATAAATCAAGCTTCTCAAGTTGATGTAAGGATGCAAGAAGCGCGGGTAACTCTGAACGAATGCGGTTTTTTTGAAGTACTAGTGTTGCAATGTTGTTCCCAAGGGAAGGAAAGTCAGGTCCGAGAAAATTTTCACCCAAATCTAATTCGCTGAGAAGGGGCATGGATTTGAAATCAGGAAAAGTTCCATTGAAGTAATTGGAGCTGAGATTGAGGGATTTCAGAGAAGACATCCTCTTGATTTTGGTAGGCAGAGGGCCCCAAATACCTAAGGAGACAAGTGAGAGGGAGGTGAGGCTGTTGAGTCTGGACAGAGTGGTGAAGAGGGAGTAGGAGGAGAAGTTAGCCGACAGAGCGGGACGACGGCGATCGCCCGAGATGGAAAGCTTGGTAATTTGGCCGGTGGAGGAGCATGATATGGAAAGGGAGGATGAAGAGGGGAGGTTGCAGAAGGAAGTGTAGCGATTCCATGACACGAGTGGTGGGGGGTATTCGAGGATTCGTCGGAGGCGGAAGATGGTTTGAGACTGGGAGGCGGAGAGCTGCTGTGCGCGTGAGAAGAGAGGGAGAAAAGATGAGCTTATGTGCAGGAGGAAGACGAGGAGGAGGAAATGGGGCTTCGGCATGGAACAAAATGACGTTTTTTTCAAGGTTTGATCCAAAGATAGAATTTTTTTTAAGGTTTGCGGCTTGGAAACAGATGATAGACACAGATTAATGGCGCGGTTTTGCCTTTTGGGTTCAACTTTGAACTGAATCTTAAGGTCTGAGAGCTTTTCGTTAATGGCGGGCGTCTGGCAGCAGAGAGAGAGAGAGAGAGAGAGCGAAGATGAGTTATGAGAGAGCGAAAGAGTTATGAGATGAGAGGGACTAGGGGTCCATGGATGAGGGAATGGAGGGTGGCGGGAGAGAGGAAGGGGATAAAAGCAGTGAGGGCTTTACAGACATGTAGCTCGTGAGCATCACCTCCGGTTTGATGGACTGTGAAAATGAGAATTGAGAGGTTAAATAATAATTATATAATAATTAAAAATTATTCAAAAATATTGGATTTTGACTTATAATTGAATCTATATTGCCAAAAAATAAGTGGAAATAAGGTAGGCTTAGGAATTCTCTCAGTGCATTGGAGTGCTGACTCCTATTTATAGAGGGGTTGACTTTGCATTACAAATTAAGTATTTATTATAATTGAATTTACATAGATCCTTGATCTATCTTTAGTATCCTTTTTTTTGAATATGGGCATTATGATTAATATTATCTTTGCCCCTTGTATGGATTATTATTTCTCATTAAATGTCATTCCTTAGCTTATCTTGTTGGTGAGTCCTTGATGAAGCTTGGTAACATTTTGGTCTCACCATTTCATGTTCATGACAGCTTATACTACTAGTATTAGTTTACTATTACTATTATATTTTAGTAGTTGTTTATGTGTGTTTTTTTTTATTTATAAGTCATGTGCTAGCTAATAAGACATGTGGTCCCTCAGTGTTTTTTTTATTTATCAGTCATGTGCTAGCTAATAAGACATGTGGTCCCTCACTACTTTTTGTTTGTTGTTGCCTTTTTATACCTGCTATGGTAGTGGATGGGCAGCTTATTCCTCTCTTGAGCTTCCATTTGAAATAAAAATCAAATCCATTTTCTGTTTGATCCTTTTTTTTTGTTCCTTTCTCTTGCAAGTGTTGGTGTGTCTCGGTGGATCCTTTTTTTTTGTTCCTTTCTCTTGCAAGTGTTGGTGTGTCTCGGTGGTTCACACCATTTGGTCACACCATTTGGTATTAGAGCTTTCAATGGCAGAAAGCAACCAATCACTTGCGATCAACGACGTTTGAAGTTGGGAGTTCATACCATCCTGGCACCCACACCAATAACGGGTGAAAAGCACCATGGCTATTCGAAATTAGAGGCGTTCCCAAAGATTTGAAACACCGATAAGTTCTGAAAATTTTGATTCGGATGATGAGAAGCATTTACAATGGCATAACAGGTACTTGGATTCTGATTCGGAGATAGACGGGTTGAATGACGATATGCCCAATCGAGGTCAAAGATCAACTGATCGAATTTACATCAATTGCAAAGTAAAGATAGGCAATACTTTATTTTGATGGTCATTTGCATATCAAAGGTTACTTGGATTGGGAGCAAGTTGTGGAAGCTTTTTTTTGAGTATATGGAGATATCTATCAGGAAGCAAGTTTGCTATGTAGCTTGTAGATTGAAGGAAGTGGTCGGTGCATGGTGGCAACAACTTGTTCAATCCCATCGAAGGGAGGGCCTGAGACCTATTTGTAGCTGGTATCGAATGAAGCAATTGGAGAGTAATCATTTTCTGCAAACAAATTACGAGCAAATTCTATATGTTCAGTTTCAACGTTGTTATAAGCCTTAAGGCAAGTCTACTTATATCCTTGCAAACAAGCATTAGTGGAATGGAGTCGATTCAAGATTTTTATAGGGAAGAAGAAGATTTTGCTATCATTTGAACCAAATGCAGCCAACATCGGACCCAAACCAGATTCGCTATACAGCAGGGCTATATTTTTAGAGCTAACCAACTATACATTCCAAATACTTCGCATCGTCAATATCTCTTTTAGCAGTGTCATGGGAGTGGCTTAGTGGCTCATACAGGAACAGACAAAATATTGCAAATGTTACAAGCACAATTTTATTTGCAAAAATTGCAGAGGGATGTTTGTACTTTTGTAGAGAAGTACACCATATGCCAAAAATCTAAGAGCTCCAGACAGAAGGCGCCTGCCTTCCACTTCCTATTCCAGAATCCATCTGGGAAGATTTTAGTATAAATTTTGTGTAGGGACTTCATCGTACCAAACATTGTTTCAATTCGATAATGGTGGTTGTAGTTCATTTTTAAAAAATGACACACTTAGTGGCATGTAAAAAGACATATGATGCTATCAATATCGCGATGCTTTTGTTTCTAGATGCCGCTTCATAGTGTTCCACAAGGCATAACATCAGACAGAGACGTAAAAATTGTGAGTTGTTTTTGAAAGAAACTATGAAAATGTTTAAGTACTAATTTTAATTTGAGCTCAGCTTACCATCCTCAACTTATGGGCAAATTGAAGTCGTGAAACGAGCACTGAGAAATATGATCAGTTGCTTAGTTGGGGATCGACAGAAACAATGGGATGATCGATTGGGGCAAACTAAGTTCACATTCAATTCAATGCTTAGTCCTTCTGGCGGCAAAACTCCTTTTAGCATTATCTACCCCAAAGCCCCCAATCACATGGTTGATCTCGCTGTTATTCCCAAACCTCTTAGTAATAATGCAACCAAGTGGGTAAATGACTTTGATACCATGCTACGTGAGGTCAAGAACAAACTTTCCGGCACCTACCATCACTACAAAACTCAAGCAGATAAGTCTAGGAGATAAACAATCTATGAAATGGGCGGCCTTGTGATGGTTCGACCCCGCAATGAAAGATTTCCATTGCGAGCACCTATTCTAAACTCAAGCCCTGTAAAATTGGTTCTTCTCCTATCCTGAAATGCATAATGAGAATGCATATGTGCTGGGGTTACCACCAGATATGAGCTCGACTCGAGTTCCTCTGAAATGGAAGAAAACTGATGCAGCTTGGGAACATTTTGGTCTCACCATCTCATATTCGTAAAAGCTTATGTTCCCAGTATTAGCATATATAAGTCATGTGCTAGCTAATGAGACATGTGGTCCCTCATTACTTCTTGTTTCTTTCAGCCTTCTTATAAAATTATATATAATACTATATAAAATCAAATATAACGAGCGAATTTCGAGCTGAAACATATCCAACAGTTCAATTCAAGCCAATCTATTTGATTTCGGGCCGTATTGAGCTCATTTTGATCCAGAACGAATCCAAATAGCTCAAAATTGATCCAGCTCATTCCAATTTCACCCCGGATCAAACACGATTCAATATCAAGATTCAAGAGCTAGCTTCCAAACTGACTTCGATTCAATCAAAACTGCAAGCTCGAAATTGGATCGTTAACAGTCCTGACGAAGATAAAAGGGTGATAAATTCAATATCAAGCCGAGCTAGCTTCCAAACTGACTTCGATTCAATCCAAACTGCAGGCTCGAAATTGAATCGTTAACAGTCCTGACGAAGATAAAAGGGTGATAATGCAATAAATAAACAAAAGAATAGAATATTGCACATAATATACGGCCTTAATTTATTTTTGGATCTGCTCACAAACTACCATATGATCCTCATTAATGTGGATCGAAATTAAAATATTTTATTTAATTAAATAAAAAAAAATAAAGTTAATATATTCACTTTTGCGTTCAGTTTAATTAACAGAGTAGGCTCCATCCATTTTAGTAGGACTTCAAATTATATTTGTATGCAGATTGCCAGCAGCAAAGTGAGAATGCAAGGCTGGCATAGAACAAAAAGAAGATTTACATGCATGCCCCTCAATAATCATGTATTTACATAACAAATATCTTAGCTTCAATTTTTCCATGTGTGCCACTAGGGGTGTAAACGAGCCAAACACGAACAAGCCCTGACTTAGCTCGTGTTCAACTTGTTAAAAAAAAATATCATTGTACGTGTTTGGCTATTTTATATTTCGAATACAAAAAGTGTGTTTGTGCTCGGCTCGCTTGTTTAGCGAGCCGAACACAAGCTGTTCGCAAACAAAGAATCATTTTGACAACCTTAATCACGCAACCGTAAGATGTTAAGGGTTGGGGCAAGATCTAAATCTTATTGTTAATGTCAAAACATCATTTAAACATAATTTAATATATTTTTATTCTATTTTTTAAATTAATAATTTTAATTATTTATACATCTTTATGACCTTTAGTCAAATAAAATTTTTAAAAAAACTACTCATCTATGTATATATATATATATATATATATATATATATATATATATAAATAATTGACGAATAGTATTTCGAGCCAAAACGAGCCAAACATGAACACGAACGAACAAATCCTTGTTCGTGTTCGGCTCGCTCATATATCGATTACAAAAAAAGTGTTCGTGTTCGGCTTATTAATTTACCGAACGAATCGAACACGAGCTTTTTAATGAATTCGCGAGCAACAAATCGGTTTGACAGACCTATGTGTCACCTTACTTATGCATATAAAATATATATATATTTTTTTTTATTTTTAAAAAACTAAAATAATGATACTTTTGACATGATATAATATGAAAGATTCGAGCAAAGTTTTGATTTTAGATAGTAAATACATAAGAATTGAGGGGTATGCATGTAAATGCCCCTTAAAAAAAATAAGGTATCTGACGTCGCTTTCGGCTCACGCTGGACCGCACCCTCTCCTAAGAAGGCGTCAAAAGCGGGTGGGCCCATTCCTTCTGCCATTATTACACCAAGACCCTTTTTGGTTGCTGTGTGAAATAATGTGAAATGGACTCGACACTTTTGGACCGTTTGTCAACCCCAAACTTAAGAGCTTGGTTTTGGGCCGACCGAAGTAGCTGAAGTCGGCCTGCTTGATATCCTTTAGTTGGTTAGTGGTACACTTTGGGTGTCTATAACATTTAAGGTTAAATAAGATTTAGTAAATTCAATACCTAAATATTGTAAATAAAGAATAATATTTGATTCAATTCTCTTGTACATTAGAAATTATTAAAAGATAAATAAGATATAGATATAAAAAACATCAACAAACAAAGAAAAATTTAAGATTCAGGATACGTTTTGGGACGCGGTGTGGCACCACACCACAGTTTTTTTCAGTTTGAACAAACTACGTTTTGACGGCTTTTTTAAAAAAATTGCTGCTAAAATCTTCATTTTCGCACCGATCCTCACTAGGTGCGATGATAACATCTAGATACGGTCTTACTTTTTCGACCACCACAATTTTTTAAACAGCATATTATTTTTCAGCAGTTTCACAATTATTTTTTAATAAGCTACAACTATCCCAAACAAACCCTGATAACTCTTAAAATGCTCCATATTTTTCCATATAGAGTTTATCATGAACCAAGACAATACGAAGTGATAAGCAAGTGAAGGAGGACGAGTGTAGAGCGCAAACCCTCAGGACTATGTTTCTTTAATTATTTTCTTTGTTTTATTATTTATCTCACTTCCTTACTTTAATCATGAAATAGATCTACATTTCTTGTCATAGTAACCATGAGATGATACCATTACCAACCACTTTATTACTACTACAATTACATACTTTTGCATTTGCACCAATCATCAAATCAAACTTTTAGTTTTGTTATTGAGAATTATTGACAACTTGTACAATTACATGATTTTAAAAAGAATTCTTACCATGCTTGGACCAAATTTTAAGAGCATATTATTAGCTCAAATTTTTGTTACTTTATAATTTTGCTTTTTGTTTCTAGTTTATTCTTTTTCACCATGTATGTACCATCATAGGTGGCAGCCTAGGCCTCATATGATTATTCATTACCTAAAGTCAACATAAAGTCAAAAATCAAAGTCAAGCTAAAATCAAGCTTAAAGCCAAATTACTTGAATAAATAATTTAAACACATCTAAGGTTAAAACTAATACAAATTCCACTTAAACACAATTTAATTGAATAATTTTAATCCCACATCGAGAAAAACAACTCTGAGTTTAAAACTAATACATCTAAAGTTAATAAGTGATGCCAAACAGGACCTAAGTTTCTTCTCTAAACCAGAGATCATATCAACTTAACATATAGCTAAGCCAAGCTCAAAACCACAGCAAGCCACAGATCATGATCTCATAGTTCAATCCTGGTAGTAGAACATGTTTAGGAGGGCAATGATGACTTACATTAACATTGCAGGTTGTCATTTGATGTAAAACCAATAATGTTTGTTGTTCATATCTACATGAGCAAACTGGGGTCATTACAACATTAAATACAACCAAATGACAACGGTACATAATGTCAGAAAGAAAACAAAAAAGTAAAAAGCCGTAAAATATGTCAATTGCCTGTCAACTAGGAAGAGGACAGCCCAACTCCTTTGAAGCAGAACCAAGGAAGGAGAGAGCCAAGCCAGTTGCTCGCCGGCTGCGAGCTTCCCATTTGATGCACTTCTCAATGTTTGCATGCCAGTTGGTCATGCCCAGGCTTCGGTATGAGGGATCGTACAAATGTAGCGTCTCCGTATTCGTATAATTAGATGAATTGATGGGGCCGGTATTCATAATATCTCGAAGAACAGATATGCTTAGAGCTCTCACAAGAGCGCTGGGATGAGAAAGACAGCGAACGGTAGCGGACAGTCGGCACTGCATGTAAATGTTGGCTTGTCAAGTTTAAGAACATTAAAAAACAATGCACGAAGATTTGCATGCATACAATATCTAAGGCCTAAACTGTAATAACTACACATATGCTCACTTTTTAAAAGTTAACATAGTGATATTATTTATTTGATATGAAAGATTTGGATGATATAAATATAAATTATTTATTTGATATGAAAGATTTGGATGGTATAAATATAAAATATCAAAGTCGATGGCATGTAATTAAAATGCATTAATGAATAAGAATGATGATTTCAATAGCAGCATGAGAAATACTTTGAGAAGATTTGTAAGGCCATCAGCTACTGCAAAACCGGTTTCTCCCCAATTTGCTACTAAGTGGACTGCTCTAGCTGTCACTTCCAGGAGCTGCATATTTTGTATACAAGAGAAATTTGAGTTGGAACTAAGACATGATCCATGGGAACAAAGATGAGGCATAATATGCAAGATGACATGTCTTTAAACAAAATCAACTTTTAACAGTCAATATGGCATCAGGCTCCTTAACGTTTACCTCTAGCTGTGGTAGAGTGCAAGCTTCACCATCAACAAGCATCCCATCCGTGGCACGAAGGAGAAGATCGGAGGCACTTGCAATAACTATTAGTGTCTCGGGGCTTCCCTGACTTCTCATGAGCTCGACAATCAACTTCACGATTCGCTGGTTGATCCTCCACATTCTTTGACCTTGCTCATCATCTCTTGCAATCCATGGCTGCAAATCTCGTTCTGCCTGTGGATAATAGACAATCATAAGACAGAGACAGAAAAATAGTCTTGACAATGGAAAATTCTGGTACTGCCTTTAATTAACAGCTCTAGAGAACAGCAGGGAATGGGCATTAAACCTGAAGAACAATGGCAGTTGATGCTTTTGTGGGAGAAGCTGACACGACATCGCAGAGGGCATCAATAACCTACACATGAAAGAAATCATCAAAATTCAAACCAAATCAGAATTAAATCAATGAAATAAAAGTATAAGGGGAAAATAGAATAGATGCTACAAAGTTATTGTCACTGATAAAACTATGCCAAAGATGATAAATTAATGACACTTTTACATGCATCCACAGAAGACGCAAGTGACTGCTCAATTCTTTCCATAGTTAACAGATTCTAGATGTTGCAAAAATTCAGTAATAACAAAAGATAAACATTGTCAATAACCATTTTTCATGTAACAAAATGAAATGCTAAGGATTTGCATCTCATTTCATCCATTTGATAATATAGTTTATCTATAAACAAGTAATTATTTGCAACACTGGAGATCAAAAGTTGCGGCTGAAGTGAATCCATCTCCATGACTTTTGCTCCTTAAAACAATAAAAAGAGCTAATTGTACTAGTGTTTTGGCGATAAAACTATAATAAACTGTGAGCAAAAGCACGGTTATAAATCTTAGAGGTATAATCAATGCATTAATTAAAGGAGATGAGATGAACAAAACTCCTAATCAACAAAGGTCCTATAAAATGTATGCTTCGCTCCCGAGACATAAGGCTATAATGAAGATGCAGAGCCATATTTTGTAAATATTAGATCGGTAACAGCATCAAGTTCTTTCCAATAAACCCAGGCTTTATAATCAAAGCCGAAGAGGATGAACAGTTATCAATTAATGACCAAAGCAAGATGAGGTAACCATGTGGCAGATGAGAAACAAGAGCATTATAGTGGTTCAATGAAATGGATCAAAACAAACATTTTTAGCTAGCTAACAAAATTGCCACAAATTAATGAAGGTGGTTTATAATGATGAATCTTCAAAATTTTTGCTGCTATGTTGTACTCATCTAAAATCCATCATGGCGACCGCCCCCCTCAACCGAATAAAATAAAAAATTCACAATGCAGGAGAAAGTGGTGAAATGCCATATCCATTAAACTATCAAAGCTTTTGAACTTCCTTAAAATAAATCAGCATTGAGAATTTACTAGTAGCAAAGAAAGGCTTTGCTTTAAAGACTGAAGGGAAACAAACTATCATCCTTGACCAAGACATTTTAAAGCTTGTTAAGACCGCATGCAATCAGACTGAATCTATTATTGATGATAACATGAGAGAACTATACCTGCCTCCACCCTTGCTGAGCAGATGTACTTTCTGCACTCATTTCTGTTTCTGGCGCAGCAATTAACCTGTGCCATAACAAAGAGACAACAGAAAAACATATCTCCTGCTTCTTAGTGAGTACAGATCTCAGAAAAGCTTGCGAAGTGCAATTGAATCCCCCATTCCTATCCATAGTAAGAAAGTTTGCTAGGTTAGATGCATCCTCAGAAAAACGTTCCATGCTCTTCTCTGACGTTTCCATAGCCATAGAATTTATCAACTTTGCCTCCTCACATTTTATAGAGTCCTTAGACTGCATGGATCCATTATCCTCCAACCTTGAGCTGATAGTGCTTGAAATACTTTCTGGATGTTCACCGGTTGAACACAATGAGCTCTGTTTTTTCAGTGGTACAAGTACTAAATGTGCTTCAAGTGGCTCTGCCTTGTCAACTATAGAGGCAACCGTTTTACCATGCAAGTCAATCAGATGATAAAGGGAAGCAGCTCTTGCACATATCTCACTATCCCATTTGCAACTCATCAAAATAGAGAGGGAATTCATGCAGGCCTTTGATCTTCCAAATAACTCAGAAACATGGGCAGCAACCATAGCTGCAGCCACAATCTCATTGGAACTATAACTCCATGAGGTGCCAACCGATGATGGCTTCAATGAGAAAAGAGCTTCTAAAATTTTAAGAAACCTTCGAGTGTGTTGAACTGCCGAACTCATACCATCATATATCTTTTGAGAAAATCCATTTGTTTTCGCTGCCTTTGCAACAGGAGTTTCAAAATCTAGATGAAAGCCATTTTTTGTGATCAAAGGAAACAATTGAAGTTCACAAGACAATGCACATATAGCAGCCAAAACATATGAATCAAACGTTGCAGCAGGACCTTGTTTTCGTCGGTTTCTACTCCTCCCAGAACTTTTAAAATTAAGTATCTGCAGTTCATCAGCAACCTCACCAGAAGAAGGTGCCGTGCCAATAGACCTCTTGGTTCCACTCGGTAAAGCTTCATGGCTGATACACACAGTTAGAACTACAAACAATAGGCGAGAGGCAAGGTCCTCAGATGCACATGACTCTAGGAATAAAGAATGAATCATTGTGCGGAGCTCAGCTACTGCAAGGTTCTTACTGTTGGACAGCACACCGCCATGATTTCTTGACTTTTTGGACTGCTCAATAGATGTAACATGTGGGAATGTTCTTCTAAGTATCGCTTCAACAATAGCAACAAATATTCTCATAAGACATGCCTCTGATGGACTTCCTTGAGGTAGGTACTCCAGCACTTTTAGCAGAGGCAAGTACAAGCCCCAAGACAATACAGGAGGTTGCAATGGTGCTGCCACTACTATCTCAGGCAAATCAACTGCTGATGAACTCAGGGGAAGCAAGCCATAAGCCGCCTCCCAAATAGTACAGATCCTCCATTCCACGTCAGGGCCATGAGCACATAGCATTGAGGCAATTCCTTGAGCAGTTGCCTCAATAGTGGCCTCAGCAGCAGGTACTTCCAGCTGAACATAAATAATTTTTATTCAAATTTAAATGAATAGAAAAATGATATCATTAAAACTGCAGAAAATGAATCCTTCACTTGAATCACTATTTCAAAATTTTGCTTTACCTGTTTCTTATATGATATGTAGCCAGCCAAGGGTTCATGCTGGACTTCAACTCCTTCCGTGTGCCTCAATGGTGGGAAAAGTAGCATGGGTTGCGAAAGTATTCGAAAGAGCAAAGCCGCTGCAGCATCTGCAGCAATACCCGTCCTCATTGACATTGCAGTCCCAATTGCACGTAAAAAATGTAAATGCATCCAGTTTCGTGGAAGCTATAGACAGAAAATGAAACAGTTAGCATATACAAGTCATTCATAAAAAGGATAACTTAAAGAGCAATCTAAATGGCAAAAAACTGCTATAAGGTTTGTCCAAAATATTAAAGAAAATACTGAAATGTCGGTGCTAAAAATATCAGTGTGAGGCACAATTATGCATAGCAATGGCAGCTTGCTTCTGCTTATTTAAAAGCATGCGTGCAAACAATTATGAGAGATTATTTATATGAAAGCTGACAAAAATTTTCTTTTAGTGTGACGGTTTAGTAGACTAACAGAATCTAGCCGAAGGATGAGAAACAAATGTGAAGTACGTCGCAAGGACAAGATGACAATTGAAGGCTTCATCAACATAAAGACAAAAAAATCATCAAGAAAAAGATGAACAGTGTGGGAAGAAAATTATTAAATTCACAATATTAGCAAAATAATATCTTTATCCATGTTGAAGAACATGATCAACTCCGAAAAGATATCTATAATCCTTTTGAAATCTTTATGCAAAAAACTAACTTGAAATTATTGAAATACAAACTCACGACACCTCATAAAATTGAATGAAGTCATTTTTTTCATTTTTTTTTTCTTTATAGATTCATAATGATTGGGCTGGTCAAATTGGTTGGCCAAAATCAAATAAAGTTGATCTGGATTCTTTTCTATCAAAGTAAAAAGGATTTGAAGTTGACTGCTAAAGAAAATCAGCTGGGTAGCCCATCAAGCAAGACACGCAAGCAGGGGTTTCAAGGTTGCACAAGAGCAATAGGTGTGTGCATCTTAAGCAAAAAGGGGGTGAGTTTTGCGACCTGAAAAGCTTGGTGGACTGAAAGGAGCGAGTAGAGCAGAAGATCATTTATCCGGGAGGATAAAAAAGGTAGGGTTGGGAGCGAGTAGAGCAGATCATTTATCCGGGAGGATAAAAAAGGTAGGGTTGCAAGTAAAAGCCATATGAGCAAATAGTGGGAACAAAGCTCGCGCTAAGACATGCATGATGTGGAGTTTCGTATAGTTCGTGGTTAGTGAGGAAGAATACAACAAGTAGAGAACATAGTTATGAGGGCAAAAGCAAACACTGTTAGGTTAGAAGAGCAAACAAATTTGATCCATTAGAACAACAAAGCAGCCCACAAGTGTGCACAGTTAGCACTACAAGATAGTCTCGTTATAAGAAATGTTGAAATTCAAAATAATGCAGTATTATATTATTGATATGAAAAGATATTATAAATAGCCTTTACATAAATCCTACAACAGGAAAAACAATAAAAAAGAAATAAAAGGAAAGGAAACATATAACACCTAATATCTCTAATTAATAATTCATATTAATTATTTGAAGATAAAAAAATAACATAAAATAGGAAAACCTAAAATAGAAAATGAAATAAATCCAATCCAAAAAAATAAATCTAAAATAGGAAATGAAATAAAGTTATATTAGAAATTAAATATAATCCTCATAACTACTAACAATAATAAATTATTTTCTAATATAACTTCTAACAAGAAATATAAATTATAGTCACTTTTTGTTTTTTTTAGAGAGTGTAGAGATCACTTTGTAAATGCTTGATAGCATTGTGTTTTATAACTTTTTTTAGTTTTTAATGCAACATGCAACATGCACACCTTCAAAGATAAGAGTGGGCAAAGTTTATAGATGAAAGGATAAAGGAAATAGTCAAGGGTATGTTTGCACATGCGACAAGCGGTTTGAAGCAATGGCAGCAGATTATCACGAGCTGAGAAGATGCACCACAAGTGAGACAATGGTGCACTAAGGATTGCAGTGATTAAGAAATGTTGCAAGTCAAAGCAGAAGGTATGATCTGAGTAGGGTGCAGCATGAAGGAGCACTGAGGATTGCAAAAGGCACAAGCAATGTAAGAAGTTGGACGAAAAGCAAGTGGAACTTGCACCACATATCAAGTATAGGAGATGAAATCAAAAGATGAACACAATTCGAAGAGTGAGTTATTTCTAATACAAAGTAATTAAATGTATTGTATCTTTCTATAAGATTTTTTTTTCCTGCATTTCATATAGAAATATATTAACATATGATACTCTTTCGAATAAGATAATTAACACAAATAAAAATTTAAAATAAAATTTGAAAAATTCAAAGAATTATGTCTCTGCATGGAGGGTTGGTCTAAAGCAATGGTTAATTGCATCTAGTGTATTTTCTGTCAACAACAAGTCTTTATCCCACTATGGGGTGTCGGCCTTTTTCTCCATTGAATCCTATTGAGTGTCATATTTCCATTTAATTCTAATAAATTCAGATCATTTTTTTACAACATGCCCAAATCTTTTAGGTTGACCTCAACCTTTTTTAACATAAGTCGAACCTAACACACCAACTCCTCTAACTGGATCATCGGATGACAGACATTTACTGTGACCAAACCATCTAAGATGATTTTATCTAATCTTGTCTGCCACTAGAGCAACATCAACCCTTTCAAGGATATATTCTTTCCAATTTTGCACATAAGTGTAAAGCCACTCATCCACCTAAGCACTCTCATCTCAACAACACTTAGTTTTATACTTCTCTTTTATAGGCCAACATTCTTCATAAAGCATGCAGCTCTTACGACCATCTTATAAAATTTTCAATTTAAGTTTACTTAGTACTTTCTATCACACAATAGGTCTGATGCATTCCTCCACTTCAACCATCTAACCTAAATTATACTAATAACATCATCATCAATATTACCAGCACATTGAACAACAGAACCGAGATATCTAAAACATTCACTCCTTTTAATGACTTGATCGTCTATTATTACAACCCCACCACTAGATCTACTATGATATGATTTGACATAGAAATCAACACAAATTTCATAGAGCAAAACATATTTTTTATTTCAATAATCCAAACAACTCACACAAATACAAAAGATAAGCAACTACAATTCGAGAGGTAACTACAATTCGAGAGGTAACAATTCGAGAGGTAGGCGATCTCTCCAAATTCCTACAATTTAGAGGTAGAAAAGCTTTCCCAAATTCTAGACCTAAGACTCACAACTCAATTCCTTGCATAAAACCTAACCCTAAACATAATAAACTTATTTATACCCAACAACAACAATAATAAAAGACTAAATTGCCCTTAGGCATACAAAAGACAAACTTGCCCTTAGATTAGGCATAGATTTTACAATACCCCCCACCCCACCACCCCAAAGTAAACTGTTGCTCGATCAAGTCAGGCGACTTTCACCAATCCTTTCCATTTAATCAGAAATTTATAGTGGCCCAGAGTAGTTCGAAATGTTGTCTTGTGCACATCCTTCGGCCGCATCTGAATAGGTTGGTGGACTAATTTCCAGTCAAGCTTAGAGAATATAGCAACCCCAAACGACTCATCACGTAGCTTATCGATCACCAAAATCTTTGTCAACTTTGTATCAGATGTCTCTTCCCTGTTTGTCAACTTTACTCATGCTTGTTTCTGTTTGTTAAAGCCGTCAGATTATTGTATTATTTCTCCCAAGTGTTGACGCCCAATTCCACTCATGATTTCTTCGCTCGATACTGCAACTCTCGATACGCATAAAGTAATGATGTTGTCCTAATGTTGCGCGAATCATTCTAGTTGTTGCTGTTGGAGTTTGTTCCCGCTGCTATCGCTCGACCTCGCAGCGGAAGGAATCAGTTTTGTGTCAAACTCAATTATCTTCTTCATCACTTCTTCTATTTGCATAATATCTTATCCACATTTCGAGCCACCTGCCTTCATCAGAAATTTCTAATCCCCCCCAATCAGAGCCTGGGGGGGGGGGGGGGGGGGGGGGGATGTGAATGTTTTCCCGCTCATGTTCCCCAAATTCAATCTCTTTCCATTTAGGTTTTGCAAATTAAGCAGTCGGCAAGGCCTTGGACCACGTCTCTATGAGTCGCTTCATCATATCTCGCATTTCTTCTATACTATCGAATTTGCTCCATTCGGTTCTCTATGAAAGAAGACCTACCTTCCATGGCTGATAATTTTTATTCCACTCCCAATCTGACACATCTTCCTCCAATTTCTTCTCCAAATCATCTATTTTCTGTCATTACTCCTAAAAAAATTTTCGATCAAATATCGTCGAATTTCCAAATAGTCTAATTCACAACGTGAGTGCTGCAAAACTGCTATCTAGCAAGGGAATCTGAAGAAATTGTGTTCTGAGGCAAACCATTAAAAAATCCAGAATTTTCGAGTTCTAAAATGGCGGGTTCAGTCACTCCATAGGCCACGTTCCCGTCGTTGCTTACCAGCTACATGAACTGCGGTCGTATCGCACGAGGCACGCCGCAATCCCGCCCTCAGCACCTTGCAAAACATGATTCACGCAGTTCGACGCTTTCCTTGGTGTCGAAGCCGAGCGCTGCGATCATAGGGACGCGACTGAATAGCACGATACTTTCCCATGTGACGATCTAAAGCAGGAGGAGAAATACATGATCCCTTGTCCTCTACGTATGCCGTGATTCTTCCCAGTTAGCTCAAATTGCAACTGTTTCGTGAGGTAAAGTCACGAATCGTCCCCATGCACGATCCATCCCACGTCGCAATCACTTCGCCTTGTCTCCTTCCCAGCGAGCTCTGACCATCTACGATCCCAGCACTGCCCTCCCAGGTAGCTCTGATCGCGACTCTACCGGGTCTCTGTACGCCGATTTAAACCACACGGGATCATGGCTTCGAAGCCTTCCCAATGCGCAGCAGATGGAGCGTCGGGTCTCGATAAGCCGTAATCCCTTCGTCGCGTTGCCCGAGACTATACGAAAAGACGTCAAATTGATTGGCTCTGTACACTAAAATCTTCGCCTTGTAAGCCAACCGCTGATCGATCCTCTCTTCTGTTGATCCAATTCTCAAAATTTTGAGCTCTGATATCAATTTGATATGATTCGACTTAGAAAAGGATAAAAAATTTTCGTAGAAATTATGGCAAAACAGATTTCTTATTTCAATAATTCAAACAGCTCACACAAATACAAAATATAAGCACCTACAATTTGAGAGGTATGCGATCTCTCCCAATTTCTACAATTCGAGAGGTAGGAAATATCTCCCAAACTCAATACCTAAGACTCACAACTCAATCTCCTGCATAAAACTTAACCCTAAACATAATAAGCCTATATAACCAACAATTATAATAATAAAAGACTAAGTTGCTCTTAGGCATACAAAAAACAAACTTGCCTTTAAACTAAGCATAGACGTAACATATTACAACTAAAATTACATTCCATGTATTCAATTTTAGATCTATTCAAGCAAAAACCTTTAAACTCTAACGTTGACCTCCATAATTCAAGTTTTTCCTGAACTTTTTTCTAAACTTATCCACAAGAAGGATATAAACAACGAAAAACATACACCAAGTTACATTCTCTTGTAATTCCGACAATTCGAGAGGTAGAAAATCTCTCCCAAACTCAATACCTAAGACTCACAACTCAATCTCCTGCATAAAACTTAACCCTAAACATAATAAGCCTATTTATACCCAACAATTATAATAATAAAAGACTAAATTTCTCTTAGGCATACAAAAAACAAACTTGCCCTTAGACTAAGCATAGACGTAATATACTACAACTAAAATTACATTCAATGTATTCAATTTTAGATCTATTCAAGCAAAAACCTTTAAACTCTAACATTGACCTCCAAAATTCAAGTTTTTCCTGAACTTTTTTCTAAACTTATCCACAAGAAGGATATAAACAGCGAAAAAATACACCAAGGTACATTCTCTTGTAAATATCCAATAAGAACAACCATAACTAAAGCAAAAATAATATAGGCTTCAAGCCGATCCCAAATGTAACCAGTTGAAATAGGAAAATATTTAGTCAATCCTCCTGTTAGAGCACAAGTAACAACTCTAGTATATATATCTTTAATGACTTGAATATAAGTCGTATCAACACCTTTTTTTTCTAGAACTCTCTAAAGAACCTGTCTTGGAACCTTCTTATAAGTTTTTTCTAAATCAACAAAAATTATACATAAATACTCTTTACTCTCTGTACTTCTCCATCAGACCTCTTGATAAATGTATAGCTTCCATAGTAGACTTATTAGACAAATCCAAACTGATTTTGAGAAATTTTTGTATCATGTTTTTATCTATGTTCAATTAATCTCTCCCATAATTTTAATGCATGACACATTAACTTAATTCCTATATAATTTGCACATATAATTTGCACTTTGCACACTCTTGTGCATCCCTTTGATTATATGTCATATCAACACCTTCTTTTTCTATAAGTCTCCAAAGAACTTCTCTCGGAAGCTTCTCATAAGCTTTTTTTCTAAATCAACAAAAAATCATACGTAGATACTCTTTACTCTACTTATCCATTAGACCTCTTAATAAATGTATGGCTTCCATTGTCGATTTGTTGGACATAAATCAAAACTGATTTTAAAAAATCATTGTATCACATCTTAACCTATGTTCACTTACTCTCTCCCATGATTTTAATGCATGAAACATTAACTTATTTAATCTATAATTTGCACACTCTTGTGCATCCCCTTTATTCTTAAAAATAAGGACTATAATATTCTTCTTCCACTCCACAGTCATCTTTTTAGTTTTTAAAATAATACTTAAAATTTGCCGACCCCGCTTAGTGGGATAAAGATTTATTGTTGTTGCTACTGTAAGCCAAGAAATTCTCAAATCTACGAAGCATTTTCACACTTCTATTGGGATACTATCTAGTCCTACTAGCCTTCCGCCCTTCATTTTTTTAGAGCTTCCTCAATTTTCATTTTATTAATGCGACTATAAAAATAAAAGATTTTATTATTATTAATGTCATTAAGATCACTAAAATCGTAGAAATAGAGGCAGTTAGAGTCACAAAAAATAATGTATTAGTATCAACATTGGATCTAAAATTATCCATAAAAAGATATCAAAACTTCATTAAAAAAAAAAAGAATCAAAATGAAATAGTGAGAAGGATTGAGGAAATATGTCTCAGAAGTAATTTAAAAAAAAAGTTTACAAGGCACCCAATAGTTCTTTGAGTGAAGAAAAGCAATTCAAACCAAGCTATGATAAATATAAAAGAAAGAGAGATTCTGTTGAATTCTAACAAGTTTAAAATAATTCTGTCCTCTGATTTTTCCAACCAAATTTCTCTGTATGCTTTTTTTTATTTGTCTCAGCTTAACCAATGACCACCTATTTATATACAAAGTTATATAAGTGTTTTATAAAATTTACTACATAGTAAAACTTCATATAGAATCTATAGGTTTAACTTGATGTGGACAATTGTGAAGCAAAACAAGTTAGATGTACAATTAGTTGCTAGTAGGAGGAGTTCCAAATTATAGGAAAGTACCCTTATAAAGTTTATTTGGCCAAATAGCCTAGATGAATTGACATCTTTGTGAGTCTCTTAAACGAATTCAATAAATTAATACTAAGCAACTTATTACTGAGGGTTGGATTTGAGCTAACTCTTAGTCAACTTATCTAAGAACGAATTCCGCATGACACAAGCCATTTGGTGACTTTAAACTTGGAAAATTTTTAAACCGTCTCTCAAACAGCAACTTTTTGAATTCAATGTAGGACCTCATAATGACTAAATTGACATGCCCTAGCAATTATGGGTGTAAAATAAAGGTAAAGTTGCATATAAGCACCCATCCGATGCCCAACATTATGCTAATCACCCCAGTAAATTAACGAGAACCCCATGCACTAGATATTAAAAACATCTTTCCATGATCACTGGAAGTAAGAAAATATACATTACATATGAATCCCCAACATTTACCAAGATTATTTTTTGTGATAAAATAGTTATCAATTCGCACAGATTTCTTTGAAGATAGGATCAATCAAGAAACTGACATTTAAACCTCAGAGAAGTTCAAGACAGTATGTAAACCAATAAATTAAAACTGCCAAGAAGCACTACTAAACTGATTAAATTCTTATGAAAATTATTATTGATAATAACAGCCTTATAGTCCCATACCCTCATTCCAGACTCATAATCCTCAGCCGCCCTGAGAAGTTCTACAAGTTGGACAGCTGCATCAAGTGCATCAGGAGCCCATGATGGAGGTGCTTCAAGAAGTCCAAGAAGAAGCCTCTGTGTTGCACTTGGAGTAGCAATGGAATAGTACCTGACAAAATGATGCAATTAAATTTAAGTTTATTTTGAGAATACCAAATATATTTGCAAAATGACTGGAATTGTGTTGAGAAACAAATGGAATAAGTATCAATATACACCTGTGAAACAAACGAGCATATGGCTCAAGTGCTGGAAGTCCTGCTACTAGGTGCTCATCTAAAGGAGTTGTAGGGGGAGGTAATAAAAGTGCAGGGACAGCAGCTGCTGTTAAATTTGCAGTCTCATAACGAGCAACTTCATCATCACAAACGCTTAATATGACACCAGCACCATTAGCGACAGCCCACCTCGGCGTTGATGGCATAAGCTGAGGATGCTTACCAGACCGTCGACTACAAGCTATATTTCATAGAATTATTAGGTTGAATAGTTTTGAATTATACCAAATATCAATCATACAATAGCTAAGTTTAAGATAAATTGAATATTGACTTAGAAGTTTCTTAGAATATACAATATAAATTAAAAAGGAAAAGATATTCACCAGTATACACCATTAATATACAACATCCGTTAAAAGGATTTTGAGAACATAACATGCAACAAAAATAAATACATGAATACTAAAACTTAGAATAGAAGGAAACCAAAAAAATGGCATCATAAAAACACTAGACCCTGATAAACTCTAATAGCTGGTATCATGACTTTTAATATTAAACTTAGTAAATCAGGCTTGAAAAGCATTTCTACTTGGTGTGATAAATGACAAACGTCCAATGTTCTCACATGAAAAATACTGTACACTACATAGGAGTCTAAAAAATTGGTTTGGTCAAGTAAAAGTAGCCAGGTAGGCCGCTGGGACTATGCCTTGTCCTAAGCAAAACCATTCAGCCAATTTTATTAATTTTCATGCCATAATAGCTTTCTGAAGCAAAAAGAATTAAGTAAAATGTCCATTTTACATGTCATTAGAAACATCATCAATCAGTTCTTAGAAATGATTTTTTTATAGTTTATGTTGCCCTCCATTAAGCATGTATGTTGCCTGTTTCGAGAAATTAAATATGTTTCCATTAGGCAGGTGAAGCGCATAAAAGATAATGAAGTGAAATTTCAAAACCAAACTGGAAGTTTGGCGAGAAAATTCAGCATAATTAACATATATTGTGAATACGAGTAATCACTAACCAGTTGTTGGAGGTTTTAGTTCTCCAGCAGCAGCATACTTCCCCATGACTCCACCACACCTGATACATCACATCAACCAAAGAAGCATTATTGCCAGTTATCTTAATCATTTAGCTCAACATATGTTCACATAAATGCAAAATTTGTACAGTTGAAGGGAAAATAATTCATCACCGTTGAATTTCCCTAATATACCTGCTTTCAAACACAAAAAATAGCCAAATTGATTCCCATATTAGTTAGGATGTTTTCATTTGACCCCCAGATTTTTCTTATTCTTTAATATGACCCTTCAATTTATCAAAATATGACTCTTTTGGTCTTGCAAAATTACTATATTGCTCTCTCAACTTAACTTTTTTGGTTAAGTTGAGAGACAAAATTAGATAAAAATAAAAAATCTGGGTTCAAAATAAAAATACCAGAAATAGTCTATTGAACAATTTGATCATTTTATTCTTTCAAACAAAAAAAGATGGATAAGTTTAATAAATCGTTATTTTGATGGAAGTATTTATATTTTTGGTGGCAGTTGCTCATGGAATAACCTTAAAACGCTGTGGGCATACAATTCTTATTCAATATCTGCAACAAGTTCATTCAAAGAATAAGGTACAAGATGATCTATGATAAAAGCTCAGGGTTCATCTTGAGCTAGGTTTCAGTTCCACCCTTTCAAAAACCTTCTATGAAATCAACAAAAGCCTGCTTGCTAACCCGCAATTCGATAACCAGCTTGTCATGTGCATACTTCCTAAATTGAGCCAATAAAATAAAGGGAAGCTCCCATTGCATTGTCATCAACAATATTTCCATAATCTAGGAATATCTCAAATATTAATATCGCTATATCTAATAGAACACTGCTTTATGCAGCCTATATTTCATCAAGAACAATAATTATGGAATCAATTCTTCCATAATGAAAATGATCAGGACAAAATCTAGAGAAACATCAAAATTTAGCTCTTTATCTTAATTAGCAATGCTTAATAATAACAGGGTGTCAATTAAGAGAAACAATTTATGATTTTCATAACCTTACGGCTCTTAGATAATGACATCTAAAGCAGCCTATTTTCATGGAAGATGCTCATCATTAAAAGATCTTTCACAACTTCATCAACAGGTGGGTTCAACATATTAAGGATACAGAGTTTTCAGCTTCATAGAGTCATGAGTTGGTATTTAGAACGTATATTCCGTAAATAAAGGTTTAAAGAAAAAAATAAATATCTCTATTAAAAAAACTGACTAGCTAATTCTAAAAAATTACTTTTTTTTTTTTTTTAGGAGGGGGGGCAAAAAAATGGGTGTCCTCCAGCTGTCCTGCAGGACAGTGAATTCATTAGTCCATGGTGAATGCCTGAATCAACATATAACTATCAAAATTCTTGCCCTCTATGAAGACATTGATAAAGACATTTTTTCAATATGATTTTATTTTGGTAAAATTTTCAATCAGGCAACACCCAATTGACAATCATGCAAAAAAAAAAAAAAGGCAAATCAAGGCCATGCACCATAAACTTCACCACACAAAGTAGTAAGGTGCTCAATTTTATACATTTTTAACATGATTCAATAATGCACCTACAGGATGGTCTAGAGAGTGTGAAAACATTTTAATTTTGAATGGTTGGAGCACTGTAATCAAATGAACTTTTTTTAGCATATAAAAATGACATCAGAGCAGTTTCAATGAATTTGCATTGAAAAATTATGCATAAGTGGTACATTAGTGAGGAGCATCATAAACAATCTAATTCCTCTTCAAGTTTGATCAATGGTCAAATATTTATGGTTACAAATTAAATTAGATCATAGAAATGGTTCTAAGATGTAGATTGAAATTGACATTTGTAATCTTGCTTGTGTTTGAAAATAGTAATATTGCAAACAAACTACATGGAAAATGCTTTCTTTTTTCAAATGAAAATATAATAGACTGTCATATATACATGATAGTTATACTGATTTCATTAGCATTAGATTTACTTCAGCAAAGCCGGCTTCAGCTCACAAAATATGATGCACAATCAAGCTTCCACGACAATTAAGTTATCAAAGATAATAGGAAGTTTCAAGATCAAGACTCAAGGGACCCTAAGATGACTAGCCAATACTGAAGAAATAAAGGTCCAAGTTCTAGATAGCCTACATCACGTTGACAATTCTACAGCTTTTAAATTATAAATGATCCTTCAATTTCTCATTATCTAATAAGCTGGAGAATTTCTTTTTTTTCCTTTTTTTGGTGGTGGGGGAACAAACAGATCCTGCATTGCTGACTTTGCAACTGAAGGCATCAAATCAAAGCAAAAGAGATAGCCTACCATCGAAAATAATCACTCCGTATTCCCACAGGTGCAGCAAGCAGTATATCGGTAATCCATGGAGTCAAAGGACGCGATGGCTTCCGCTCAGGACTATTACTGGATTCCCCTCCAATAGATTCACTCGTTGTAGCATGGCTGCCGCTACTGCTTCTTTCTGCTTCAATATTGTGGTGTTCAGATTTGTAAATTGGTCGATTGTAGAGAGTCAAGACCCGCAAAATCTCCCCACAGGCTAGAGCCCACTGTTCAGAATATTCTTTCTGCAAGGAAAGAGACAACTTTGAGTAAGGAGCTGGGAACATTCTTTCACACTCAGTAACCCAATACATATTTAAAAAAAGATTTAAGCGTTAAACTATCTGATTGTTGATTGGTGAAAGCATGCATTGACATTATATTTTGAACATCTTTACCTCAGTAGTCTGGCTGATTAAAGATATGAAAGAACTAAATGGCGGATTATTCTTGCCATACACCAAGGTCCCATCAATTATACATGAAAGAATTGGATGCACAATGGCATGCCCATGCTCTGGATGATGGAGGACGAATATTGCTGAAATTATCGAATAAAAAGGTTAGGCGTATTCATCAATGCAGAAGGAAAAAATGATATATTAATATTACTAGCATGTCTTAACATAATTGATAAAAAATTTATAGGATTAAGTTTACAATACCCAATACATCATCCAGAACACGTTTTTCCTTAACAGGATAATGTCTCTGGATTAGCTGCACAAAGAAATATTAAATCTATGTAAGATTCAACCTTCAAGCCTTCCATGAATTACACAGTCTCTGTTAGCTTAAACCAAATTTAGAATCATGCTCTCCCATTATGAAGAATTATTGGAACGAATTTTGTCAATGAACTAAGAGAAAATGATCATACCTGAGATATGTCTTCGGGGAATTGTTCCGAAGTAAATTGAGCAAAATACTCAACATAGGCCATAATTTGTACCTAAAGAAAATTCATACACACCAGACTCGTCAAAATCTAAATAAAAAGTAACCAGCAGAAACATTAAAATTCCAGTTTAACGCAAATAATAGACAATAACATTACAATAAAAATGGATCTCCTTCACTCTTTTTCCCACACTAGGAAAGGAAAAGCAGTAAATTATTGCGAGGAAAAATACTATTATGCAACTTAAACCGATAGAAGAAGTACATCAACAAGCACCATAGCAATAGTATAACAAATCTTATATAAGCCGACTAGAAAAATTGTTGAATGAAACTCATCTTGTATGTTATACTATCAGCAACTGCAAAATTTTCTTATCCTACTGCTTTATTTTTAGAGTGTAGTTCAAATCTCAGTAACTAAAACTAGCACACACAAAGTTTGGTCCATGATACGGGATTTGATAACTTTTTTTCTTTCTTAATCCTTCTTACATATTGCTCTCTTAAACTGTATCATTCTAACCATGGGCGGTGTATATCTTAAACTACTCCATTGCATTTCCCAAACGGGAAAAAAATGTACATTACAAAGAGTTATTTTAATCCACTTAGCCTAAACCTTAACATAGTTTCTTCTAAAATAGCTAAGCTACAAGTATATATTGAGCGACCATTCAAATCTACGATATCTTGCAAATTATACCATAAAAAACAACAAATAAGTCTTTATCTCTAACATAAAATCAGTTTTGTTATTTTCTCCTCACTTACTCTTATCCTTTAACATATATGACTCAACTGAACTCATCAGAACGGGCAAGATGGCAATTAGGGCCAGTCGAATATAAAAGGTTACTAGCACTTGCTAGAAAGATCCACAGCAGAATAGGGTTCTCATATCCATTATATATGCTACCATACTCGTAGCTTCGAGAGACGCCTCATGAAAAGCCGATTTGAGCAAATATTTATTTTAGGATAACAAGACAATAGTTTGAAGGATAACAAGACTAATAAAACCATTATATAGATGTGGGATCATAATGGAAAGACCAAAATTAGAAAAGAAAATACAATAATAACAATCATGACCTGATATATGAAAAAAGGCATGACATAACATAAACTTATGTTACTTATTGTAACTTGTTATCTAACTTACACTTTGTTGAACCATTGAAAACAATCACCATCCCTAAAATACCACAAGCCCACCATCAAGATAAACTGTAATTGTTATGTTCTTTTAAGGCATGTTTAAAAGTTGATATATGACAAAATAAAAAGTTTCTCCTATCCTTTTACATTCCATGAATAGGCACCCAGGAAACCTAGCCCATGGGCTAACAATTGAGTAAAATGTATGGCTCTTTCTTTTGAAGCAGTTATGTTGTACAATGGTCTCACGTAATAATGCCAGCCCATACTCCAAAATTGGCAGAATAATTTCTCATATTGTACTGGATTAATAAAAACGTAGCAAATATCTTTCATAATTCCATCAAGTATTGAACTTATTCACAAAAATTGAAGGAGCTTAAAATATTTACTTACTCTGCTTCAGGTAAGTATACATTCTTGATTCCAAGTTAAGATTTTCCAGTTCATGCTAAGCATAAATGAAGCTTTTTTTATATTTAAAATAAAACCAACAATACAAATTCTATAACCAGTTCAACAATTGTCATCAAAATAACAGTTATATGCATATAATAGAAGGAACCATCTAACTAGGGCAATATAATATTGTTTAAAATGATCAAAGGTGACTGATTTTTTTTTTTTCTTTCCATTTACATTCTATTAATCAGATAACATGAAATAAATGACAACATATTTGGTCAACAAGTAGATGCCATTAAAATAATACTTTTATTTTATTTATGAATTTATTATTTAACGATGTTGCTAAATCAAATTCCTAAAATCTAATGATAAAATTATTAAGAGGCTAGAACAATAAGGAACCAAATTGAGTCCAATACAATTATTGATGGACATCCACCAACCCTAAAAGCTTAAGTTAATGATTCCTTATCACTACTGAATATTAAAAACTTAACTCTTATTGCATGGTTGATGTGTATCTCTACTCTCAAATGAACCTCAACAATCTCCCCATAACATCCTCAATATTGATAAACATTCCCCCATCAAATGGGATCTTTTCAATACCCAAAGTGTCATGTTCCAAAAACCCATTTAATCTCATGGAGCCTTTATGAGAGTCTTCCAATTTTGTACTTGCTTGACCATGTTAGAGGCCGTTAAAAGCAATGACAGGCGCAAGCTGTATGCAAATTTTGATCTCAATCGAACAAAAAAGATATGGTATCATTTATTAAAGGGTGGAACACCAAAGGTTTAAATTGTGCTAAAACATTGAAAAATAAACACCCATCAAATAAAAAAACTTAAGCAACTGCAACCATATTAAAAACTCTACTCTTATTTAATTTTTTATGAGGAACTATGTTCACTCTTGTAGATTCCAATAACTAATTATGTAAACTTGTAATCATACTAAACAGTTTACATCTGTTAATAAAAAAACATTACACAACATCTGACAGCGAGCAAAATGATTAGCATACCAAATTTAGAATTATTATTGTGCAAAATTCAACAGCATGCAGATGTGAAGTTAATAGCTATATGGCAGACTCAAATTTTGAAAGGTGAAAACTTTTAAAAATCTATTCTCAGTACCTGTCTCTGTTGCTCATCTTGAGGTGGCGGCCACAACAAGGAGGAAAACTGAAGGCCATCGATCCACTTCTGAGACGATGAAGACATCTTATGCCCCTTGCTTGAATCCCTTCTTATCTCTGTCTATGGGAACCAAAAGACCCAATCAAAACAGCATCCACCACGCCCGGCGCACCAGAACAGGCGTAGAACTGCGCCCAGAAAACCAAAAGAAAAAAATGAAAATTCAACCAAAACCCAAAACCCGCTTGGCTCTCCCTGTCTCTCAAAAAAGCAAACCATCCTCAATCATCTCCCAGACTTAACTTTCCTCCTGACACCAAAATCATCATCGTCTACTAAACCGCATCTACCAATCGATAGAAAACTAACTCACCGTAACATCACCAGAACACCTCCAAAAAATTAAACAATTTCACTTCCCAAATTCTTCAACAAAATCGACGACCACAAACTCCTACCTCCAAAACAAGAGGAAAAAAGTAGATCGAATAATTTCACCACACACAAACATAAAGAGAGAGAGAGATAGTACAGAAAAATCCCAACTTGGAGAAGTGAAGAGAGAGCAGTACCTCGTGTAGCAGCTACTGCTGAAGCTATGCTATCCGAACTTCGGCGAGTTTGTGCCGATGGGATAAACGTCGCTGAGGAAAAAGAAGGGTGGAGGGTGGAGATTTTATCTTCCGATGAAAATTCTGAATGAAAGATGGTTTGGCATCGAGGGCACTCAATACACCTTGAAGGCGGTACTTTGCTCTCCCCAGCTTCGTCCCGTACCTACGTGGCGATGATATTTTCGCTGATCCACCCACCCATCCTTCCATCCATGGATGCACATGACATGCCATGGCATGATGCCATTAAGCTCCGCACTCTCTGCATTGACTTGATTGCCCTTGAGGAGGAAGCGAGGTTGGGGTTTCCTTCAGACGCCGACTGATCGGAGCCGTTGGGAGTGCGGGCAACGGTCAGATTCGCGCTGGAACGGAAATATTTTATTTTGTTATTTTGTTTCGTAAATTTTGGAAATAATTTGTCGCTGATGTTGACAATTTAAATGGAGTATTTGAGAATGTTAAAAAAATTATGAATTTTATTTTGATTTATCTCATCTATACTGCCATGAAAATAGGGCTGTCAAAATGGTTCGTTGTTCACGAACAGTTCATGTTCGACTTCTTTAAGAAGCTCATGCTCGGCTCGTTAATTTCGTTCGATAAGTTAACAAGCCGAACACGAAGTAAGATGTGTTCGTTCGTGTTCGGCTTATTTTGGCTCGAAATACGAATCATCAAGTTTATATATATATATATATATATATTAAGTAGTATTTTAAAAAAATTAAAAAAAAATCTAATTGACTATAAGGCTACAAAGATTTATAATCAATTAAAATATTGATTAAGAAAATATAATAAAAATTATTAAATTAGATTCAAATGATGTTTTTATATAAATAATAATTTTTAAATCTTGCTCAAACATTTATTGTCTTGTGGCTACATGATTAGGGTGGTTAAAAGAACTCTTTATTCGTGAATAGCTCGTGTTCTGCTCGTTAAGCAAACGAGTCGAACACGAACACACTTTTTGAGCTCGAAATATAAAAGAGTCGAACACGAGCTGAGCATGGCTCACTTCAGCTCGTTTACACCCCTACATGAAAAAGCTCAAGAGCGACTACCGAAATAAATTTATCTTGTAATCGGGTTTATTAAATTTGGATTTAGGTCGTAAAAATAATGGAGTGTGAGGAGATAAAAATAGAACGAGGGAAAATTGGATTTGACAGAGCGTTGGATTTATTATTGCTATCAAACACCGTCTGAACCTTTTAGTGTGTATCGAAATATATAATTTGAGATAAGGACGTGCAGATAAGGCAAACTCGATGGAACGAGAGATACAAGGTTCTCAAAGTCACTCAGTCAAGCTTAAATAACAGTCATCCAATTTGGATAGCTCGGATTGAAATGCACTCATTCAGTTTAGAAAACTTAAACGCAAAGAACACTCACATTGCTTAGAAAACTGGAACATAGATGAATCTCGTGCAGATCAGAAGACTCGAGCTAGAAAGATGCTCATCCAATCCAAAAGATGCTTGCTTTTCTCAAAGCCAATTGTTTGGGGCTCAAAAGAAATTCTCCTATTCAGGGGTGATGGCTTCTTTAGTTGGGAAGACCTTCGAAGCACTTTTTCAAAGTAACGACCCGCCAATATTCTTATCACTATATCCACATACTTGCAATACACATTTTAGATACATATATTCATTAAATTTGAGATGAATACTAGAGATGCCTAAAAAATTTTATAAATACTAGGTCAAGTGGTCATTTTTTAGGGAGAAGAGATGTAAAGAACCGAAAATTTTCTTATCGTGATTTTTTTTCTTTCATTTTTCCATTGCTCACGACCTCCTTCCATTTTCTATTGATGCATCGTTGTCGCCTTCCCTATTTCCTCGATCACACCGACTTTGCTCTCTATAAATCAAGGCCGAAGGGGTAGCATTTACAAATACCCCTTCCGCTTGCTCTCCCTCATCTTCTGATCTTTGTCACTCCTGATTTTGCTCGAACCCATTATCTTCGTGCCCGAAATGCTTGGGATACTACTGTGATTGGAGCTAGCTAGGAAGGCAACAACAGGATTGTGGCATAGCAAGGCCACATAAGCTCCTACCTTTCTCCTCCTTCCGCAGAGCCTACCCGAAACCATCGAGGAAGGTAACCCTCACCTTCCTCCTCTCGCACACTCCAGCTTCTATAAATATCGCAAATTGATGCCTTTTTTATGCTTAATTTCTTTTACATTTATCACATGTTTTTGAATGAAACCGTACCTTAAATAAATGTTATTTTCATGTTTATCTTACATATATAACACTTGGAGTTGATTTGGGCTGATTTCGGCTGAAACGGAGCCAAACATAGGCAAACGGGAGAAAATTGGGGTGCTGCCAACATGGTGGCGCCTAGGCGCTAGTCTCTGCCCATAAAATAAAGAAGACAACCACTAGGCACCGCTGATTGGGGCCTATGTGTTTGAGTTGTCCAGGGGCAGTTTCAACACGACCCAAACAATTATTTGACGGATCTAAACATTTGGAAAAATACTTTTTGGCATTTTTAAGTCTTGGTATTCTCCAGGAAGGCCGAGAGGTCGTTTATAGGAGTATGAAATGTAGATTCTTACCTTTTCTGGAGAGATTGGTGAGGGGATTTTGAGAGCTACTTGTGAGGGATTGTATTAACATTGCATGGATTAGCATGAGACTTTGTTGAAGGAATTTTCATCTTTCTTTCAAAGAAAAAAAAAAGAAAAAAAAACTAAGTATTGTGAACTAAGTATTGTGTTCTTCATTATCCTGAACTTGTTGTAAACACTTCTCTAGTGGATTTCCTTTGATTTAATGAAGGTTTCTGTTGTGTATGACACATGTTTGTGAAGCAGAATTCTTGTATTTTTCTTTTGCAATGAAATGGATGAATGTTTAGGATGTTAGGATGCATGTTAGAATAGGCTTTTCATATTATAATGATGGTTCTTACTTCATGTATCATTTATTAATCAATCTAACCAATTAACATATTAAAATTTATTATAAACCTATAAGTTCTGGGAGGACTATGGTTTTAACAACTTGGAGGAACCACATTGAACTTATGGGTGAAGGAAAGTAGTCATAAGATTCACTGCAATATAAGGGAGATATTTGCTGATGAGTGCAAATTGGTGTTTCTAGGGCGACAGGCAAGATTCCTAACCATTTTGATATAGGACTTCATACCTTAAATCTAAATTAAGTCAATTAGAGGGCTATTAGAAGAAGGAGACTCTAGGGTGACAGGCTAGAAGTTTCGCTGTGGTAATCTAATTATTTTAATGAATCGACCTTAGGTTAACTAAGCTACGTTATACACTCAGAAGAGGGTAACTTAGATTTTTGCTCCTATTGTCACTGGCCACATTATATTCTAAGCATCCCATTCCTGCACATTATCTAGGTCACCACAAGAGAAAGGTATTTTTTACAACTCAAAATTCACCAAACCAATTTATCTAGTTAGATTTAACTTTAGATTTAGGTTTGTATTTATGAGTAGTTGTTAGAAAAATACCCTTAATTGACATTCCAAATTAAAACCTGATAGTAGTAAGCTAGAACTTAGCCTAAGGGATTTCTTACCTTGCTTCCCTGTGAGATCGATAATCAGGACTATATTAGAGCCCTATTTTATTTGAACGATATGTGTACTTGCGTAGAGCCCATAGTGTGTAAATTATTAATCAAATTCTAAACTCTACAACATATCTATTTTATACACTAGTCCCCTAAAGAAATTGGGTCAAGTTTTTTGCCAGGAAGCTAAATAACTGCGTAACTGCGAATGGGATCACAAATCCATCTTCAAATGGATTTGCTAAATCATGATTTAAGACAAACTTGAAGAAAGAGGATTTAAGGGCGTCTATGATTAAATGACTTTTTTTTATTATTTTTCTTTTACTATTTATTAAATAGAAAGGTGTTAAGTAAATCATTCAAAATCTTATTATAAAATAAGAAGTTCTAATTTCTCATACATGATAATAAAATAGAAATAGAATAAAATACTATTTTGATTACATTAATTTAAGTTAATTAAGTTCCTCCTTTCTAAGAATATAATGAGTTATTATATATACATCTACATAGTAAAATTTTGTAGGTTTATTAAAATATGCCTAATTTAATAAATAAATAATTTTAATTTGATAAATATTTTATCTTATTTTTTAATTGGTGTGAGATCAATAATCAAACCGTCGAATTCGTAAGAGCATCACATTTGTTGCCTCAGAGGTAAATAACTACTCTTTATTATGAGATAAACATACCTTCTCTAGTTATGATTGTTGACCTTGTTAATGACATTAGATTTCTAGTAAATTTTAGACTTGTGATTAGTGCATTTCAAGTCTTGTTCCCATAGTTCCAGTAGTTTTTAATCTTTGCTCTTAATAGAATTAATGAGGAATTGGCCTTATTTTATTCCAGCTCAATCTCTTGTTTTATTGTTCACCCTTCATGATTGCAATATTCATTATTCATTTCATATATTAGATGTAGCAAATTTCATTAATTTAATTTCATAATTTTCATAAATATTGGTGGACATTGTAATTTTCTTATTATTTTTTTGATTGTAATGAATGAAATATAACTAATATCACAGTATTATTATGTCGATATCAAACCATTTTGTTATGGCTAATCGAATCGACAGGTTCTTCAGAGAAATCTGTGGATTTCCATAGGATTGATGTTTGTCTTTCATTATTTCATGGTGTAGTAACAAATCGACTATATAAATATAATTAGGTGTATATACTTAAATTATTTATTATCAGTAGTGTGAAATGTTTGATTATTCATTTCTGTACTTCAACACTTGATATGATAACGTGTAAATATTCAAGTAATTTTTATTGATGATCATAAGCGTATGATAGTTATTGAAAACTCTTTCACACATAATAAATTGTCAATATTTATTGATCATACTTCATGCCCCAATTTCATTATAGCTTATGCTTTAATAAATAGTAGTTATTTATTGAGTTTGATATTCAAACTCACAAATTGATATTTCTATATAAAAGTTTTCACCTAACCACTTACCAACTCTTCTTCATCGGAGCAGACTTTCTATTAATATTTTTCAGTTTCGTATAAGCTATCGTATTTTCTTTCTGGGATTGAATAGTTGTTTTATTATTTTCATTTTAGTTCTTTTACCTTTTATTTGTGGAATAAACATTTGAGTGTTTTTTTCTTATTTCTTTTTATTATTATTTGTATATTCTTTTTCTTTTATGAATAAAAAATAAGCTCAATTATTTGTGTTTTTTTCTTATTTCTTTTTATTATTTGTATATTCTTTTCTTTTATGAATAAAAAATAAGCTCAATTATTTTCATCATATCCTGTGTGACAGAGTGATATCAGAGTCTATATTTTGTATTATGTACTTTATATCCTTTATTTTTGCATCACACATCTTTTGTCTTTGCATTTCACATCCCTTATTCTCTTAGGATTTAGTAGAGGATATGTATTCTTGTTAGTCAGCTATTAAATCAATTTTGATTTCGCTTGTTTGCTTAGCGAACTAATCGAGCACGAATTCCAATCGAATACAAACTATTCAAGGGCTATTTAACAAAAAATTATGCTGTGCGGATACCGCACGCAAAATTTACATGCGGTGTCCGATCAAGACCGTTAAAAATTTTAGAGTGATCCCCGCTCTAACGAAAAAAAAAATATTTAAGTTATTCAGATCGAACACCGCACGATACTAATCCTCAGTAATTAAAACAAACAAAAATAAATTTCGGATCGCCCCCCGAAATTTACTGGGCTGACAAATTGACACGTCCCAATGACGAGTGGTGGAAATAGATTCGGCCAGCGCGAGATATTTTCCTATCTCGCAGGCCAAGTTGCACGCAGTTTTACAAAAACACCCATCAAAAACCCAAAATTGACAATTTAAATTCACGCAAATTACAGACTGACCCAGTCGCCGGACCAATCGGTAACAAGATCGGGATATCATACCGCCTTCGATCTCACCCGTCCGACGTGGCGCGCCCGGGAGCGAGGAATATATCTCCAGAGACTCGGTCCGTAAAGTGGGACCCACGCTCCACACCGCATGAGCCATCGCACATGATGGCATGGCCTAGTCAAAAGACGGAAATGCCCTCGGGCTGGCTTCTGCATCTTTGGGCCCACCACCCTAAATTAATTAATCTTGGATTTTTAAATATTCAAATTTTTTATTGAGTAAATTGCGATAAAAATAAATTCCAACATAATAAAATATAAAAGAAATGTACGTGGAATATAAAGAAGAGAAAAATTTACATACATGACACCTAATTTTAATATATTTACATATCTCATATCTTAACTTTCATATATATATATATCTATATATATAATTTTGATGTTTTAAATTTACATATAAAAATATTTATTTGGCTTTTAAAAAGTGACTAGCACTATTTTTAATGTGATATGAAAGATTCCAGTATAAATACATAAGAATTGGTTGTCTGTATAAATACATAAGAATTGTGTGTTATTTATGTAAATGCCCCTAAAAAAATCTCCTATTAGTTATTAGTTATTATATGGTAGCGGCCCTAAGTAAAATTAATCTGGAGAGAACAATCCAATCTAGAAGTTGTTTTGGAAGCTAATGTAAGAAAATAATCACATTTATCATTAGACTCAATCAACCAAGTTGGGATTGATGAATTGTAGAGTACAAGCTGCTGAGTAGGAGATGTCGGGCATGAGCCGCTATGTGAAACAAGGAAGGTCATCGAACAAACATTATTCTTTCATCAGCTGAACTCAAGTTGCCCATCTGAAGAAGCGATTATGTCCTTTCATGATCTTTGTGTTTGCTTAATCAAGGAATGCCTCATTTGTATCAAGGTCGATTGGACTAAGTGATGAGTTATCTTTGAATTCAAAGTTTCGAACTGACTAACAAAAATGTAAATCGACAAATGTGCGGCGAACAAAAAGTGATATATATAATGTTGATTAAAATAATATAACATCAGAAAAAGACAAAAGAGGATAAGCCAGAGGTCAATAGAGATCTGTGTAAGAATCACCTAGTTTTGTTAAACGTAAGAAAAACCTCAATAAATTGTGAAAAATATATGAAACAAGGATGGATAATTGATCAATATGCACTGTATCTTGATCATTTCTTAGTGGACACAATAATCTTCTATCTTCAACTTGCTATTTCCTTTTTCCCTCGCCCTTTTCTTAAAGTATGAGTCCACGAACGGAGTAACATTCAACATCATTTTAAGGTGCGAAATGCATGAATCATGGTAAAGACAAGAAGAAAAGATAGGCAAGGAGAAAAACTAGGAACAGGGAATATATTTGAAAACTTGTGACTCATTAGATTATTGAGTTGAAAGAACAAATGACAATTATAAAAAGAGAAACACTAGCACAATCATCAGCGGAATGGGCCCCACCACCTCATCCAAAAGCTTTAGATGAGGTAAGAGAGAACTCACCACTGAAATCATAAGGATCACACGACATGCAACAAGTTAGGAAGTTGGATCAAAGTTGGATTGGGTCATACATCACACAAGAGCATGTCAGTTTAGGACCTTATAAATTGACAATATATACGAAAAAAATATCTAGAACATAGAGCAAAGATAATCTCAAACTCTTTTACCCATAAAGCAATATTTTATTGAGAACATAGATATAATTGGGGAACTTGCTTAAGCAAAATCAACTATAAAACTAATTATTATTATTATTATTATTATTATCATTATTTAAGGTTATGCTCTATTTCGATAACTCTACTACAATTCCATTTCGATAACTCTATTATAATATCCTTGGAAAAATATAATAGGGTGAGATTTTAAAGTTAAAAAGTAAGAAAACTACTCCCAAGGGGAAAGTTCAAGACCTTCAGGAAAAAAAACATTATGGGAGTAGCCCAAGAAGCCCCGAAGAAAATAAGACCTATAAGAGGGTTGGAAGCCCCAATGCCAAATAGCAATGTTGACATTTGTTGCATGAATTGGAGCATCATTAGATGGGAGATCGGTTATCCCACGACTTGTCTCAAACTCTCTTCTCCCGCCATGTCTCTCACTCATTGTTCGATGGTCCTCTCTACCACTAGCACGTTCAACTCCGTCCAAGTTCTCACCATTTATCACCTCTTATGTCAGCACTTGGGACTTCATATTCAAGTTTAACAGGGTCGAATCTGTTACGCGAGACTAAGACAGAAAATGTAAAAAAAAAAAAACACTCACCCATCAAATTCAATCGCACGAGAACCTACAAAAAAGTTGGCTCGGATGTATTGCTAACTGTCACAACTACAAATGGCTAGACCTTCGAATAAGAAGTATGAAGGATTGAACCTCCTTGCAACACTTCATCTTCTAGGCCAATGGCCACCTAAGTTAGCTGGGAAGATGCGGGCATGTCCCTCAAAGTTGTTCCAGACAAGCCTTCTCATTTGAAAGTCCGACTTTCCCTTTTTTTTCCTAAGCGCCTCTGCTTTTTTTTCATCTCCTCATCTTCGACATGTCGGTTTGCAATTAGGTGCGATTCGCAATTGTAGAAAACTGTCAGTAAAGCAAATCAGAGACGACTGAGGGCAAAATCAAATGAGATTCATGAAAACCTCACCGCCCTATCTAAAAGCCAAAAGTTCAAAATTTAAGGGAGTAATTGTATTATGAGCATTTATTTCTATTTCTAAGATTAATTTTAAAAAACTTAATTTTCTTATTCTTATCACAACATAGCTACATAAGATGCGAGAGAATCAGAGTACTAAATATGCATAAGAGCCCGTAAATCCCTTCTTCGTATCTCAACGATCCAATCGAGAGTTGACTTCTTCCAGAATATAAATATCTAAGCCTAAAAATCTAGAGCATAATAGGCCTAAAAAAGCTATAACATAATATATTTTATTTCAAGTAAAAATACATATAAAATAAAATTAAGATAAAAAAGGATCATAAACAGCCCCTTAGTTTTATTATAAGAAATTTTAAATAAAAATAACTATAACTGTTTTAATTTTAATTTAAAGTCCTTTGACAAGCATCACAATGAAGCTTTTAAATGATAAAAGAGCCCTTATGAGCAATCACTAAGGCCACTAAAAGTAGACTGTTTGGAACGAGAAAATATTCTGTCTGAATATCGCACGTCCGGACGGCCAACCACCAGTGGCCACATCCTCATACACCCCATCTGTGACAACGGATCATCAATGGTAGACCGTCCGAACAAAATATTTTTTTGTTTGGAGCTTTAACCCAGTAAAGTAAAACCCTTAAAAATTTTGAAATTCCTCAAATTTTTAGAAGGTTAAATTGAGATTCTTGTAAGCCCACCTAATATTTTCACTGCCTTACCGCTGCTACTGCCAGCAGGTGCTAGGGCATTTCGCTTCTCCAATTAATATAAGCTTCATCAAGAAAAAAGGGCTATGAAGTTAGCTCGAATATCATTAATAACTTGAATATCGATTCAAATTTTAACTCGGATCGAGAACGGATCGAAGTAAACGAGCCGAGCTATGAGCCAAAAGTTTAGATATAGTTTTTTTTCAAGTCAATTTTGAGTCATACATGAAATTGACTCGTTATTTTTATTTATAAAATTATATATATAATGCTAAGTAAAATTGAATATAATGTGTCACGATATGGTAGGAACGGATCATAAAAACTTAATTTGAATCGGTTAATTTCAATTTTGAGCCGGATCAAACTGAGTCCAAATTGAAACAGATCCAAACAACTCAATTTGAGCCAACCACACCAAATCTATTCGAGCAACAAACCCCAGCTCGGCTCGAACTCGGATCGTTAACCACCCAAATTATAGACCAAGCAATCAATTGTTAACATCAATTTTAATATATCGACAAAACTTCAGGGAAAAAAAAAAGCTAATTTGACTAGTGGGATAGTATAATAACTGAAATTCAAGTTTTACTTCACAAATGTAGCATTGCACAAACATTAAACATCAATTAAAACTATAACAAAACATAAAACATTGACAGACATCCAGAGTCCCAAAATGTTTTACTTTCAGAATCCTCACCCAAGGGAGCTATAAATATTTAACTAATGGAAGATATGTACAAGAGAGTAAGGTTGATTGGATAAGGAAAAGTTGAAAGAAACTGGAGAAAATTTCACCTGCACCTGATTTGCTTGACACAATTTCTACTCTCTCTTTTTTTTTCCCTTGAAATTCATCACAGCAATAGGCAGAGCATGTCCTCCAAGCAATTTTATTCACAACTAATTTCCTGAAACCAATGCAGCACAGCAAGCAAATTAAAGGGAGAGAGAGGGCAATGAAAGCAAATCAAAGAACAAATGGCCAACTTGATTTCCTCAATATGAGTCATGGGCTGGACTATCTGAATGCATGTCCATGGATGAATCATGGGAGTTGGTCTCCCGGTTGCCATCGTTGGTCCGAGCTCCTGCACCAGAAGGCATGGTGCCGCCGGCCAAATAGAAGTCATCAGCTTGAGCAAGCTGAAATGGTTGGAGACTCCTACGAACAGGGCTTGAAAGAGCATTTGAAAAGACTGAGTTCTTTGATTGTTCAGCCTGATTGGATGATCGAGTTGGAAACCCGACGGTTGAAGAACCATGTAGGCCATTAGGGGTCTGCATGTTTAGGGTTAATAGGGGAGAGGCAGCTTGGGGTTGCTGGCCAGCGTAATGCACTCTTGGAGATGCTGATGTATCATGTCCACCATCATCAATCTCATTCTGTGAGAAGCCAAAAATCTTGGAGCTTTAACAAGAAGGAACGAATACAAGAGTTAAGAATAAATTATAATTTATGATCATCTGATACCAAAAATAATGATTCGATTTATGTTAAGGAAGGGGTAGACCTGCATATTGTATAAAAAATGATCTTAATTTATTAGAATTAAGTGAACATTTCACACTCAAAAGGATGCAATAGAGAAGTAGCCAACCCCACTTGGTGGAATAAAGGCTTGTTGTTATTGTTGTTGTTGTTGTTGATACCAAAAATAAATAAAATGCAGAGAATCAAACAAAACCATGTTTACAAATTGATGTCATATTGAATGGTGGAACCTGCAAATAGCCAACTATATCAGCTAATGTAATTCTGGAACCTTCTTCATGTTGCCTTACAATCCACTGGTAGATTTTCTCCTGAATAGAAAAACGAAAATCAAATGTGTATTCTTAAAACCACTATAGACTTGTGCTCTGAAAAATAGTAGAAAACTTTAAAATAATAAACTTAAAAACATCAGGAGTAGGTAGTATGGAAATTAGTGCAAGTTATACAAATTATTATACTTGGTATATGAAATAAAACAAGTTTTGCAGGACTGCAGATACCTTCAAACAAACCGTGCAAATGTACATAGCTTGATTTTCAGATGTGGTTTAACTCATCATTTGATTAGTTTCAAATGATTTCTATGGAGATCTGAAACAAACTGGCCGACTACAATGATTTGATTCAAACTAGGAAAGTCAAACTTATTCATGTATAGCTCAGGAAAAAAGAAAAGAACCATGGTGGACCCTTCAGAAAAAAATTAGCTGCTACGTGGGACCTTTAATAGAAAATATTTAATTGAAAGGACTATTGAAATGCAATATAAGCTACAAATGATCATGGAGTATTAATAAGATGAAGAACAGGCATGTGCAAATGTGGGAAATATCAATAAGAAAGTCCCAAGAAACTATCCAGAATATTATAAAATAATAATTTAAGTGCTGAATCCAAATCAGTTCAGGAGACCTACCTAAGGAATAGAGCACTTGAGGATGGGAGAGAGAGGGAGAGAGAGAGAGAGAGAGAGAGAGTAGTAGCACAATAATGAATAGTAAATTCGCATAACCATTATTTATGATACTCCCTATTTATAGGAACGAGTCAAGGTGCTATTACATGTTGTACCCCTAGAGTACATAGGTACGATGGGATATTTTAGTCTTATACATAGATTTAATCTGTGGGGCCCATGCTTATGGCCATATAACTATTGGATTAAGCGGCCATTAGTTCGGGTGGTCGTTATCCCGAAAAGCTATCAGGCCAGGTGACTATTAGGTCGGGCTGCCGTTAGTGCAAGCGACTGTCAAACCGGGTAATTGATCGTCCGGGCAGCCATCAGGCCAGGCCGGGAAGAGACAGGTTCATCCAAATAGATTTGGTTCGATGGACTCTTCAAGGATGAGCTACTCTTATATCTTTCTAAGGTGTTCTGTCTTTCTGATGTGCGTAGATTGGCGGGCTAAGCACTCGGTTCAAAATTGTCCGTGGTAGACCCTACGCAGCCACATCACCTCTTTCGCTGTCCATAAGAAGTCTTTGCAACTACTGTTAACACATTTTGATGTACATTAAAGTTCCTCGATTCTCTTGCTCCTTGAATGCAATAACTGAGATAAAAACAAGAGAATCTAGGTTTTGAAACAAGTTTATGATATTCATGACTATTTAATACACAAATTAACTATTTCTTGACTTCTGTGGCAAAACCATTATGAATGTGGTATGGAAACTTATCTTCCAAGCGCTCTTTTGGATTCCTCCTTGGTTTCTTAGCAGTGTTGAGCATGAAGGATGGGAAGTTTCTGAAATCTGTTAGCAAAGAGGTCTGGGCTTTAGTGTTCCAGGTCATGAAAGAGAAGGCGAAGTCCAGCTCTAAGATTTAGCGGCTTGGGAGGCATGTTGTGCCCGAGATGAGGGTCCCCGACCCTGTGGCTGAAGTAGGGTCTTCTGACTCGAACAACAACCGCTTCGCAAATGGCTCTTTGACAGCGGAGTGTGGCTTCCCAGTAAAGAAATGGTGCGTGATGGGAAGAAACCATTTGGACGATGACCAAGCGGGCAAAACCGCTCATTCTCCAATCTTTCTAGAGTTGCGTGAAGGTCAGAGCCAAAAACCCTCTGTTGATCTCCTACCTCCGGAGATACGGGTGACGAAGGAGCAACGAGTTACTCCTGATCCTAGGGTGGTTACTGCCTCATAGCTTGCCTCTCACCCCCGCCGGCGGGGAAAGAGGTCGGGGGAGAAACAATCTCCTTTGCTACTTTTGACTTAGACTGAATGTTGGATCAGTCTTCTGGTGAGGGTACTAAGACTCTGCCTCCTGTTGAGCGAGGAGCTCCTGATGTTGGCATTGCGGTGGATTTCAGATCAGTTGAGGATCCCATGGTCTCTAAAGAGCCGCCTGACAATGTATCATGGAGCTCAGCGTGAGCGACTGACGTTCCTGGATTGCTTGGTTTGGCCTCGATTTCATTGCCTCAGGAGGTCGATCTCCCTCATGAGGTCCGGCTGGAGCGATTGGAAGAGGAGCGAGCCGCGGTCCAGACTCATGGAGCTGCTCTCTGAGAGGAGTTGATGTCCTTGAAGGCAGAGTTAGCTACGGTCCGGGAGGTATTGGTCTCCCCGTTTGTGTGTTGAAATGAACAAAGTAGATAAGGTTAGGGCAGGGCGTGAATTAATGTTCAAGCAGTTGTCTCAGCCGGGGTATGTTCCAGCTGAGGCAGTGGCTAATAGTTTTTTCTCTCCGAGTGAGTGATTGTATACAGATGAAAACGAATATGAATACACTTTCTTTCGTTAGTGTATATGTCTTTATATCTATGATATTTGTTAGATTTCATGTTTGTTGTTTATTATTATTACTTAGTATATTATTATATAAATAAACCTCTTTTTTGGTATGTGCTTGATTTAGTCCCTTTCTCGCGCTTTGATATGGCAGAAAGTACCGTATTGCCCCTGCTTCTACAGTACGTTACAAGTTTTACGGGATGAATGTCCGGATTCGCACACTCTCTTTACTCTTTGCGTGAACTTCCTCCTCTCCCTTTCCATTAGCGACATAGCTCCTAAGTTTTCCACAGAGCTTTTCGGCATAAACTCGTCGGGAGTGTCAAACATTTAAGAGGGGCAAACAACGACAGTGTCCAAGTCGTTTGCCTACAGGCCGGATCATCCATAGGCAAGCATGGTGATGGCCTAGTTGTGTATGTTGACCAATTCAAATATGGACTGAGGTTGCCATTTTGCAACAAGATGAAGTCTATCCTCAATAGCTACGATATCATTCTCACACTAGACACGCCAAACTCGATCTCTATAATAATGACCTTCGTCATCTACCTTCGATGGGTAGCGATCCCGTGGTCGATTGAACTGTTCGTGTACTTTTTCGGCTTCATGGTCGATTGAGATGGCTATGCTGTTTTTTTTTCCTCTGGCCGTAGACTCCGGGTAATAGGGGTCGAGACTAAAATAAAGGACAGGCGGCTCAAGTTCGTGATCTCCACATGCTGACGAAGCTGGGGATTTCTGTTCGACCTATTACCAAGGAGGTGGTAAAGCCGAAGATGTTGCCAAAGCATACCCATAACTACGTTGTCATCAATGAGGAGAGCGAGCTCTCTACTTTTCAATTTACCGACCTATTACCAAGGAGGTGGTAAAGCCGAAGATGTTGCCAAAGCATACCCATAACTACGTTGTCATCAATGAGGAGAGCGAGCTCTCTACTTTTCAATTTACCGACCTATTACCAAGGAGGTGGTAAAGCCGAAGATGTTGCCAAAGCATACCCATAACTACGTTGTCATCAATGAGGAGAGCGAGCTCTCTACTTTTCAATTTACCGAGCGAGATGTTGTCAACAGGGTCTTGTGGCCCAGGATTTCCGGTGACATGACCGAGAGCTTATGGGAAGAATTAGACGAGAAAAACAAGAAAAGGATTGGCGCATTAGCGGCGAAAGCCGAGGAGAAAAGACCAAGGGTGAAAAAGCCTCTGGAGAGGGAGGACTCCACCGCTCGGCTGAGGAGGCCATTTGAAAAGCCTAAAGTCGGTAAGAAAAATGATTTCTATTTCTCATTTTTCTTCTTTTTCTTGATTCGTCGAAAGAAGATGCAGGGACCTTGAGTGTGCGTCGGGAGACTCCATCTGAAACATCAGGATCTATGGAGTCGAGCTCTAGGGAGGAGTCTTCTCCGGTCCAAATGACCGAGAGGAAGGATAGGGGTACAGACATTACTTTCATCGACTCGTGGGAGAGGACCTCTGCACAATGTGTGTCGCCCTTGCGGGCTATTTTTGCTTCTGAAAACGATGTTGATTCTGAGGTTGAACTCTTGGAGAGAGCCGACCGGGACTCGAAGGGGAAAAGGACCGTGGAAGAGGAATCAACTCCTCCCCCTCCATCGAAAACTGAGGAATCGCCTCCGAGGTGGATTGCCTGGATAGACGGTTCGAGCAACGTTATGCAGGCTCTGGCTATCTTCGTCTCTCACTACCAGGCTAAAAGCCTTGGTTCACGAGGAGAAGAAGAAGACTGCCAATCAAATGGTGATCGAGACATCAGAGGGCATAAGGCAGACATAACTGAAGCTCCTGCGCCTGTATATGAAGTTAAGAAATTCAACTTAAACATGGGAGGCTAGGGTCGAGAAATATGAACAGGCCATTGTTGCCCTAGATGCCAAGAACAAGGAGTTGGAAGCCAAATTGTTGGAGATAATTATGAGAGATGACCGCGTGGTGGCACTCTCGGACCAGATCCAGATGGATCTCACCATCACTGCTAAGCGCTTTGTAAAGGATGGACTAGTTGACCCGAAGTGGGGCGACATGGACAACTTGGCCTCCCTCTTTGCCGATTCTGATGACAATGGTATGAGGCCGACAGTGGTGGCGAACCTGTGTTTGTTTAGATTTTTGTATATGCTTCCTCTACTTTTTTTCTTTTTTTCTTTTTTTTGGACGCATTTTTTATACCGTTCGGTCATGCTGGGCCGACGCGCACCATGTATTCAGAATAGTTTTGTATATATTTTTAAAGTGATTGATAGAAAGATTTCTCGCATCATATTCTTCTTTTTATGGGTTATATTTCTTTAACTGAGAGAGCTCATGGGTGTGTGAATGAATAGTTTGGATAGGTCATAAGTCTAGCATCACGCTTAATAATCCATTAACTGCGCACTCAATCGATCAATCTTGCCTATAGATCAAGGTTTCTAGATTGAGGCTAAGCTGAGTTACCATGTTGTTGCTGTTTATCGATTTTCGGTTGGAGCTCAACTGGAAGATCACTGCGGTTGGCAGTCTTTATATTAGGGCTAAGTCGAGTGATCTTGGCTCACGGCTGGT